CCTTGTTAGTTCTAAATCAAAGTTTTATCCTCATAAGGTTGTCTCTCTCGCGCGCCTCAAGCTTTGCGCAATTTTGATATTAAAATGTTATATATGATTTAAGCACCCACATTTTTGTCGGAACTCAATTGACGGTCACGATCATTTGCGTAATGGCAAACGACGCGGAGCAACTAGTTTTATATAACAGGTATGAGTCAGACTCTCGTATCTTTAACAGAGGTGTATGCTTTGCCATGCCGTCTCGGCATCGCAAGGCATACACCTCTCGCAAAGACCTCAATGCAAAGAAACATTTGACGAATATCAGTGGATAATGCTTTATGAAACAAAAGAAACTACTTTACTATTATATTAAGTAGGTTGCCCTGTAAATTTTGCCCACTATAAAGAATGTCGTTAAGGGAATGGCGGGTACTAGTTCAAGCGCTAGCATCAAGCTCTACACGTAATTTAGATGTAAGTTTGTCTTCTCTAATGACACCGTGATGTATGAAATATGACGGCATGTTTTTACAGTTATCTATCTTTGGAGACGCAATCTATCCAGCTTTTATATATTCATTGATAACACTGTCATAAGCTTCCTTCAATTTGGGCAAAGCAAGCATCTTGCGCTCCAAACATTAAAAACTTTTCTTGCCATTTGACGCAAGTCACCGAGAGACAAAATATCTCCTTTAAAAGTACACTATATCGACCATTCTGATCACGAACGGTCGTGCGAATATAAATTTCCTCGCATAATCTACCATCCAGGCTAAGTATAGGTGAACCGTTCACCTCCATCATTTCCCAAAATTTGTGAACTAACAACTCGAGCGGTTAAATAGCGGTGCAAAAATAAGAAGTTGCCGAAACATTATCGACAGTAGGAGCGGTACCAACAATACGTCATTTAAACTCGAAAAAGAATTGTTGCAAAAGAACAGCTGCGACTAGTAATTAAGGGATCATAGCATGTGTGAAGTTTAATTTGGAAATTAATATTAGGCTGAGTTCTAATATAATTTGTAAAACATATATAACTAGTTTTCAAAGTATTTAAGGTAAGTAGGTTATTGTTCAGCCACTTATCGATCCTAGCAAGGCCTTTTTCAGCAGATCTACGAACAGAATCCCAGGAGTTACCCGTAAATATTACTGCAGTATCTATCATCTGCATATGAGGTTATGTTGCCCTCGTTAATGTCAATGTTGGTTAGATTTATGGAGTGTAGAAGTAAGGAGTACCAACTCCCATAGTAGAACAGTTGAAAAAGTGGCCATCTGTAAGCAGTAAATAACAGTTCAAAAACTCTCCACAACAGTGCTGGAGTAGCTACTGTGATGAAATGAACTTAGCAGTTGTCGACGGTTTAAGTATGGTGCTAAACTGCTCAGTAGCTCTAAAATCTAAAATAATTTTATTTAGTAAATATAACTTCGAAAAAGTCGTATAACCCACTAATATTTTTCGGTGCGTTCTTTAAGATTTACCCCGTAGTTATAGTGGCGCTACCCTTATTTAAAGGTTTTTATGGACACTTTTTAATACACAGTCTGTACTCCTTACTTCTACACTCCATAGTTAGATTATTATTTATGTAGATTAAAAACAATGTAGGACTTAGGACACTGCCCTGTGGAACTCTGAATGTTAAACCTGATTCATCGCTTAAGTATTCACCTATCTTTACTTTCTGCTTGCGATCCTTACGTCTAGTAAGTAAGTCTTTAAATAAATCTAAGTGAGTACCCCTTATACCTATATTCTCAAGCCTGTGAACAAGGATTGATATTCATTTTTCCAAGAGCTCCTCTTAAGCACCAGACTTGGATTGCAGCTTGTAGAAATCATGATCTTGGATACCTAAACAAACTAGCGCTATTTGCTCCGAACATTTAGATAAATCATATTTCATACCCCAAGTTATCAATAAAAAAAGATTTGCTGATACTACTGTACCAACCTTGAACTTGTGGAAGGTAATGTCTAGCTGTACTTATATCAATAGGTTAAATAGTTTTATTATTACCCTTGACACCAATATTATTCTTCTTGAAAATATTTTAGAATGATAATTCTACTATTATGGCTTCTTATATTTACGCAAACATTACACTTTAGATGAAACTAATATTACGGTTTTTATCGCGTTAAATTTAGACCTTTGATTTCCGACGTTTCGAATGCTTTACGGTACGAATTTTAATGTCGCACCTTTGACGTAATGTGGCACGTGCTGAGGCGGCGCGACACTAAAACGACCGCATGTAAACGAACAGATTGTACACCAATGAAAATTAAAAAAACGCCTCAAACTAAAAAGCAATAGCATAAAAGTTACAAGTTTGCAAGAAATACTAGATTCGCTGACAGAGACATCTTTGATACATAAAGAAAGTAAACAGGTACTAGAAAAGATAGGATTTGAAGACAGCGAACTTTTCAAGAGACAATTGTTTAAAAGTAAGTCTGTAAACCGCCCAGAACTAAATATTTCACAGAGTTAAGTCGTTTCGCCCTAACACTTGATTGTTAACGAAAATTCTATCACTATGTACGTAAAACTTTTGGAACATGTTTGCCAGCACCACGGAAATTGACTAAGTGGTACGGTATTATCAATGGACGACCAGGGTTCACTCAAGGAGCGCTGACAGCATTAAAATTGAGAGCGAAGAGTAACCCTAATAAAAAAATTGTACCTTGGTCATGGATGAAATGAAAATTAAGCAGTTTATGAAATGCCATGCTAGCAACCAAAGGTATTATGGTTATGTCAACTACGGGTTTGATATTATATCCCACAATTTGGATGAAGCTACTGACCACTAATGCGTCAGTAACTTCATCGCATTTTTATTGCTCGGGATAAACATAACGTGGAAAGTACACATAGCCAACTTTTTCATTAAATTTGAATTAAAATCTGAGTTTGATCAGTCTTTCAAAAACTGGCCATAATTATATTTACTAATAAAATCATATTTTTTAACACTAAAAATCCTTCACTGCTGGCCGTATGCGGAAGCTCAAAGTCGCTCAGCGAGCTACGGGGACAGCTATGCTCGGGGTTTTCTGCATGATAAACATAGAAATAAGGATATTCACAGTAGAACCAGAGAGAACGACATAGGCCAATGGATTAGTAAGCTGAAGTGGCAATGGGTCGGCCTAATAGTTCAAAAAATCGACAACCGATGAGGAGAAAAAGGTTCTCTATTGGCAGCCTAGTACCGGTGGGTGAAGTGCAGGATGACCCCCCAATAGATAGAGTGACGACCTGGTAAGACATGCAGGAAGTCGATGGATACAGGTAGATTAGATCCGTGCTTTGTGTTCAGCAGCGAAGTTGTGAAGGGCTGTAGATAATGAATGAAAAAATACTAAAAATCATTTTCACTAACGCTGAACTTATGCTAACTATGATGATTTGCTTATCGACAAAAATATCGACATAGTCCTCGCCTTACGTTGCTTACGTGTGTATACAGCGGAACCAGTGTGGCACCATTATTATCCATACTATGGAGTGTAGAGGTAAGGAGTGCACAGACTGTATAAAATGTGTCCGTAGGAAAACTATAAATAAGGGTGGCGCCACTTTAGCCACAGTCTAAATTTTAAAGAACTTTTTATAATTTTTATTGCACAGACTTTCACCATAATTCTTTTTACAATAATTATTTAATTATTTCAAAAGTTTTATTTTCAAAATCACTCTCAACGTATTTTACGGTGATTTTATCCTTATGATTTATCAGATTTATCCCTGTAGCTACTTGAGCGCAGTTGTGAAGAGTTTTTGAACTGTTATTTACTGCTTACGGATGGACACATTTTCAACTATTCTCCTATGGGAGATTGTCCTCCTTACCTCTATACTCCATGAATCCATGATCGATACTACTAAAATAAAACAAAACTAATTATAGGAGAAAAATAATAAGAAATGTAATTAGAATATATTGGAAAAACTTGTTACTTAGTGAATAATTTAATAGCATCAGAAAAAGTTTGTAAATTTCCTATATATCCAAGTTTATTAGGACCTTTTAGAATTTGAATATAACCTAAAACTTTACATAATGATTTCTTATATTTACGCGAACACTACACATTGATTAAAACTACTTTTACGGATTTTATCGCGTTTATTTTACTATTATTTATAATTCCCGACGTTTCGGGCGCTTTCTAGCACCCATGGTCAAACTAAACCCAAGCATACCACTGCAAGACATCAGGACATAGTCAGTTCATTTTGCATAGATCGGACCATAAACAATAATTAAAAAAGCTGAAGGTACTCCGGGTTTAACAATGACATCGGGACGTCAGTCATCTCAGTCCCCCGTGACCATGGGTGCTGGAAAGCGCCCGAAACGTCGGCAATTAAAAATAATAGTAAAATAAACGCGATAAAATCCGTAAAAGTAGTTTTAATCAATCTAAAACTTTACATTATAATAATGTAAAGTTTTAATCAATCTAAAACTTTACATTATAATAATGTAAGAAAAGTACAATTTGACGGCATGCGTAAATTAATGTAATAAACACAACCCTCTACGTGTACTAACTATGTAATGAACACGATGTTCGATGGACGTGATGGCTTTCAATAGTAATTACAAAAATTATGACACAAGGGGAAGATATAAAAGTACATTTTAATTTGGCAAAAGGAAAAGAAAAATGTTACTCAGCTAAACTTATTTACAACATGCTCGGAGACAAATGAAATTATTTTTATTTTGTGTTTCTGAGAAGCGTTTCAAATGATGTTCAAACAGCAATTAAATCATTTGAAAGTGAGAACTTTAATCCATTAAAACTGCTCAATACACTCACAACACTGAAACATTCAGTGAACGGGAGATTTTTAATTTTTCCAAGAGCTGTAAATAAGAACCTATTAGATCCAATAACTGACAGGAATATTAACGCTAGGGCTTATCTTGGCTACATATTTGAAACTGCAACATCTTAACTTTAGAGTCCGAAGTTTTAAATGCAATGCGACAACGCTGGGAGCGGCAGGAAGGTGGAGACCTTCTTACTGTAATTACTAAAGGAATTGCAACAAAGACTTCCAGATAACTACAAGCTGCTAGAATCATGGCGTTGCTAAATCCATAAGAGGCAATAAAACCAATCAAGTCAAACACTATTATCGAGGTTGCTGAAGTCTTGGTATTTACACCGGAAACAATAGACAAAATAAAGCAACAGTGGCACATTCTACGTATAAACAAGCGGCATTCTCAAGAAATAGTTCAATTTTGGGTCGAAGTAAAAAGAATTAAATATTTCCGGTGATAACATATACACCACTACTCGTGCGGTTAAAGAATGGGACTGAAAATGGCGTCGCCTCTATTTACTTCTTGCACGCACATTGTACGGTACCCATCACACCCGCCGGTAGAGACATACTTTTGTTAAGTCCATGATTACCATGATGAATTGAATAGGTAAAATTTCAATAAATATATTAAGGAAAATTAATCCCAAACATACCTCCAAATAGCATCGTGGTGATGGATTTTGCGCCGTGTAACAACATGCAAGTAAGTAAACGACCATCAGTAGCAAACCGAAAAGGTGAGATACAAAATTGATTACGCGAAAGTGGTATACATTATGACGACATGAGCTTTCAGAATTAGTTAAAAAATACAAGCCAGAGAAAGATTATGCGATAAATAAATTACCAGTTAATCACGGCCATGAAACATTAAGATTAACACCATACAACTGTGATCTAAACTCTATAGAATATATGTGGAATCTGGTAAAACAAAGAGTAGCCGAAAAGAACGTCGATCAGCTGGAAATAAAATAGAAGTACTAGCGCCTGAAGCAATAGCCTCAAATACGGCCATAGATTGACGAAAAGAAGTTAATCACATAAAAAGATTGGAAAGTGATTGTTGGACGAGGGAGGTGACGAATGAAAAATTACTTTGATGAGTTTATAATAAATATTGGACTGAACAGCGATTGCGAAAGCGATTGCTGATCCGATTCAAACAATGATCTTGAAGATAACATTGGTATGTCCGGAATCAAAGTGTTCTCAGACGATTCTTGTTAAGGTTCAAGTAGCAGAATTTAATTTTCATATTCATTTTAACATTCATATATATAGAGTTTATTAGAGTTTCTTGCCTATCTGTCCTATTTGAAATATTTTCTTGGCTGTTATGTGTATTGTTATTTAAATTAATATAAACTTAACTTCGTGATTAATTTACTAATCTACATATACCTATAAATAATTCAATTTTATCCAAACGAAGCCAGTGCGAGTCACAGAGTATAAATGTTATTTTGAAATTAATGTATCTACTTGTGTAAATAATTTTATTAAAATATTTCCCATTAATAGAAAATTTCCAAATAACCGAATAATATACCTAACGTATTAACTAACACAATAACGATTTACCGTTATTAGCGGGTTTTCGTTTTTTGTAATGTGCAATTTGACGGCATGGACTCGACGAGTCGCCATATATAATCCTATTCTTTATCCGTACGAGCTATACTTTTGCTTTAACTTGCCTTTCACTGCCACATTCTGATGCAGAGGTAGAGAGGTTATTCTCTCAAATGAATTTATTAAAAAATAAGCAAAGAAACCTAATAAGTTTGATAACTATGAACTCAATCCTCTGCAGTATATACTCCCTCAGTAAAAGTGGTAAATGCTGCTATAACTGTGTTTTGTCTAAAGATGTACTGCATAAAATGGGCACCACTGAAAAATATTCCAGATTAACGATTAAAGACACTGAAACCCAACCATCGACATCTTCATTGATTGATTAATTTTAAACTTATTTTTTATTCAATAATGTACAGTCAAGAGACAATAATATGTAAACAACATAGAATTTTGTCACGTTAAGCGTTCCAAAACAAAACTATCTGTGCCTCAAAAGTCGACAATAAATGTAATATAACGTAGTCCTATTACAAAACATTTTTAACTCTCTTGTTGTAAATTATGAAAATAAAAATGATTATAACATTTAGCTACTTCTAGCGGCTTTTTGGGGAAAAAATTGGCAACTTAGCAACATTTTGAAAAATGTCTAACAAGTAGGAACTGGGCTATGGAGTGTAAAAGTAAGGAGAACAATCTTTCATATGAGAATAGTTGAAAAAGTGTCCATATTTAAGCAATAAATAACAGTTCAAAAACTCTCAACAACAGCGCTGGAGTAGCTACAGGAAACGGCTACATGAAGTTAACTTAGCAATTGTCGACGGTTTGAAGTGTGCTGCTAAACTACTCAGTAGCTCTAAAATCTAAAATAATTTTATTTAGTAAATATAATATCGAAAAAGTCGTCTATCCCACTGGTATTTTTCGGCGCGTTCTTTAAAATTTACCCCGTAGCTATAGTGGTGCCACCCTTATTTAACTGTTTTCTACGGACACTTTTAATACACAGTTTGTACTCCTTACCTCTACACTCCATAAACTGGGTATTATACGGCCGACGTATCTTGGCGAGTCCGAACGCAGGAGGCTGCGCAATAACTGTTTTTATGAATGTATGAATATGTATTTTATAGAAACAAAATGGTGGACGTACGGTTATCGGTGTCTAGGCTAGAGATTGACCTTATGTAAACACAATCGACCTTTTATTCAATCAAGTATCGCAATCGAATAGTTTTATTCAGAAGTTATTAATTTTTGTATATATAAAATATAAAACGAAATAGATTTACAAATATAGTGAATTTATCGTTAATAATCGTGATTTCGACTTTATTAAAAAAAACTAATCAAATTTTATTTTCTAAGTTGAAAAACATGATTTCCTTAAATGTCAGTTATCTATTTACGTCTACTTGAGTGACAACTGTTTGATTTTTGATTTTTATGTCTTAATTTCAATCGATTTGAATAAAAATCTATTATACAACACCCTCGGGCACGCGTATTGCACATCCCTTTTTGGTTATTTCGTAAAGCTTCGTGCTTATTCGGCAATTCTGGGTACGTAATATGTCTCCGTCACACGTTAGCATTGGTGTCGTTTTCGTGTTGCTATATCTGTCTTGAGCACAGACGGTTAGAAAAGTTTTCGTTGTTATTAATTGTTATTATTATTGTTTGGTTTTTTGTTTAGTGTTAAGTTTGTTTTATTTATGTTATTTGCAAGTGTCAGTTGGCACTTATATTATTCGCCAAATATGCCATTGAAACATAATAGTGTGTTAAATTGCCAGGCGAGAAAAATTATTTACGATTTAACGCAGTATATGAAAGAAGGAAAAGAAGAAGGCGTAAAAGATGTAGATAACCACTGAAACTTCTATGAATACTACGCTAGCCAAAACAAAAGTATCGTTGTACGTCCCAGATAGTGAAATATCCATAGCGTCAAGATAAAACTGACATATAGGGACATCTGCGGTACTTTTTGTAAGTTTTGTTTTTTGTTATCGATAGCTGATGAAATACTTTACGTATTAAATGAGATGGCAGTATAACAAGCCTTAACGAATGAACCATAATTATTTAACATCAGACTACTTTACTCTCGGTGTTTTGTGAACAAGTGTTTTCGGAGTGTCACAATAAACTAGATGATTTATGCTTTATAATTACGTATACATATCACAGTTCTTAGTGTAAAATCGAGTCATATTTTCAATTCAAAGTATAGCTGTTTCGAAAAATATGGCCGCTCTCAAGTTGTCGGCCCAATTTTATTTCATTTACTTTGTTTATCAGTAAAATTATATTTAAGCAACGAGTGATAGTTTGTAACATAATAATGCACTTTACAAACAGAATTAAACTATATATACTCAGGTTTTTTGCTGTGGATAGTTTTATACATGGAGGCTAGAGAACATGAGAACGATCGGTACCTACTAAAGCATAGCCCGCCTGTTCTTGAAAATTTGTAAAATTTATAGCGGCGCTGCCGTCGGTGAGTAGTGGCTGCGAAGTTAGCTGTTTATGAGTACAAGTAGATGAAATTAGTTAAATATTGTACAAATTTTCTTTGCCGCATTAGTGAGAAAATTTTCATGCTCCGTATTTTTTTTAATTTTAGACAAAAAGAAATATTTAAAAATGGAGAAATATTTTATTGTGCGTGGGTGTGCAAGTGCTTTGGCATCTGATCGGAAAAAGAGACTGAAAATGACTTTTATTGAGCGTACTTACCGATCGCAGCGCCTCACTTATGGTGTCAATTTTTCTGGAACACTATTTTCTACGGCGATCGTTTTTCCTGTTCTCTTACCTCCATGGTTTTATATCCACGGACGTAACTACAATGGTTCTAAATAAGGGTCGGTACAAATGGCAAAGTATGCTTGCAAGATGTTTTGCTTTGTTATTTTTTACAGTCTGTGTCTTTGGTGGGTGGTGTTTATTTTTGAGTTTTATTTCTTAATAATTTATAATGATTCTTAATCGTAATCGTAATTTTTAATGTTTCTTTACTACATTATTATTGTTTTTTTCCCTTGATGATATTGATGGTTTAAATTAATACATACAACAATTTTAGATCTGATATAACTAAATTGACGTAAAGGCCAACTACGACCAGCAGACCTAAAATCGAGCATCAACATTTCCCAGTCAAAATCGGCTTTAAGCAAAGTCGCTGTTCGTTGTGCGCTCTGTGAAAGGTTACAGCCAGAGCTATTTGCCTGGAATGTAACAAAAACATATGCATTGATGGTTGCTTTATGCAGTGCCATATATAATTTTTTATGTTTACTGCCTCGTTGGTCTAGTGGTTGTATTAGTGCGACAGCTGATCATGATGTTCAGGTTTCGAATCCCTGGTCGGGCCAAAAAATCAATTATTGAGTTTTTCCGTCAAGAAATTATCAGTAGTTGCCCGGAGTCAGGAAGTTGGCGGTGTCTCACACCAGTGCCTCGGAAAGCACGTAAGGCTGTTGGTCCTGCGCCTGATCTCTCTCCGGTCGTGTCGGTTTACCGTCCCATTGGATTATAAGATTGAGGGACTAGAGAGTGCACCTGTGCTTGCGCATACACTTGGGCACTATAATCCCGTCCTACGCCGATGGCTAGTCTCCGTTGAGGCTGGCCAGCGTGACCGAAATTCGGTCTGGAGGACATTATTATTTTTATTATGTTTTATTTATTTATTTTAGTTTCAACTTAACACAAAGTATTGTTTATGAAAAAAAATTATTATTTCTTTAAACTGTAGATTGATTAGCGTAAGAATTTATTTACTGTAATTAATTAATTAATTACTTTTCCTTCTTTGATTGTTGTAAACGGGACGAAGGAATTTTTATATAAACCTATCTTAGTTTGAGCGCATTATAAATACAGTATTATATTATAACTTCATAGAAAACTGCGGGAATGAAAAAAGGGGTAATAATTGTAGTCATCAATATGAGCTACTTTTACTGTGAATGAGTATTGGATCAAACATGAAGTCGCGAAAAAGTACTATAAATCTAGATTTAGATAACTCTTATTCAATTATTAATTAGGCAATGAACATAGGAAGGAATAAAGGTATATTTTATTTTCCAGGTTTATAAATGAGAACAAAGAAAACATTGACAATAATGATATATCACGGCTTAGGTAAGGCGGAAAGCAAATTGGATTATAACAATAATATATAAAATGTACAAAACAAAGTTATTTGTATTTTTAGAACGAAAAAATAGATTTATCTATTGTTTTAGGCTTACCCAAGATAGGGTAACACATCAAGAAGTTACTGTAACAAGTGAAGCACAGAACAAGGTTTTTGATGAAAATGAGATCGTGGAATATGACCAATATAATGACAGTATTGTTTGCAGTTTACTATTATTTTCAAGGTGAGTGAATTCCTGACTACTGTTATATAAAACTAGACATGTTCTTTATAATACAGTCAAGTTAATGTCATTAATTTGTTTTTTATATGTTTTGACTAAGTTTTAGCACATGTAAGCTTATTAAATGTAAACGTTTATTAAGAAACAGACTAACTCCCGTGGCCGTGAGACTTGATAGACAGCTCAGTTGGTTAGAGCATCGGCACGGATCGCTTAGGTCGTGGGTTCAAACCCCACCCGGTATTAGTTGATTTTTCGAATTTCTCATTAAATGTTTAGACATTTATTAATTTGGTTGGTTTTTCTATGGCTATGTTAATTCAAGCTCAAAATGTGCCTACTCTGTTAAGTTGTTCTAAGATCTAAAGTAACGTTTAATAAATAACAAAAGGCTAATAGGTAATTGCGAGACTTGCGAAACTCTTGCTGCAAGACCAAGGCCAAGAACAAGACCAGGTGTATTGGCGCAAGACCAAGACTGGCTAAGTCTCGTCTTGTTCTTGCATTTGCAACACTACTTCAAATGTGTTCTGGCAGAAATTATTGATCCACGTTTCCCACGCAAACTGCCAATGAGAGATAGATTCGATGATTGACTGTATTAGATAATAAGATTATTTTTTTTTCATAAATTTTCAACTACTTCTGACGTTTTATGTATTGTTTGTAAAGTGTAACAAAGTTCTTTAGAATAAAAATTGATATTTACGCAACTTTATTTAGACTACTTTATTTGATCAACCGTAAACATACATTTGTAGTCATTTACATACAGTAAATAAATTTTGAATATTTAGGTACGTTACCTAATTTCCGCATCCTCTATTACAATACTAATATAGACAAATTGGACAGAAATTGGATAAAGAATTTATTCTGCTTCTACTGCTATTCCTAAGCAGAATAAATTATTTACCATTACTTTTCTTGCTGTATTTAGGTATATTATAATGGACGAACAAAAAAAGTCGAACGGAACTCCCCGCAAAAACAAAACTGAGTCTGGTCTATGTGTGAGTATTGACGTTTGCACGTGTGATGGCCGACTAATGTGTGACACATTCACACTTGTTCACACACCGGGCTTGTACGCACGACAACCAATCAAGTTTTAAAAATCCAGTTTATGTGGATCTCTCATTGTACGGGAAATTGATACAAAGCGAGGCCATTGTATACTGGAAATGTGTAGCTTTATGTGTCGCCGAGTGTACTTTCAGGGAGTTGGTGTGACACAATTTTTTATTAGCGAGCATCTGTCTGATTTTCTTTGTTCGTCCATGAGGTACTTGTATATATGAAATACAAAAAAGCTAACGTATGTTATAAACAATAGCGCACGTATGGTACGTAGATTGGTAAAAATACAACACACAAATAAATCTCCGAGGCCAAGCGTTACGTCCGTACTAGACAAAGTATGTAATATAATAAAATAAAACGGTACTAAATGTAGGTATGCACCTGTCCTGTATGCAGAGAAATTTACACGCTTACAGACTTACACTAGCGGTCGACCGCCCACGAGTGACCGACGAATGTTGCCGAATGCCAACCGAGTGCTCAGGCGCTATCTCTCTCTTTACGCTTCGCCTCTTTTTCTAATATTGCGCTGGATGAAACAACAAGCTTTTAAACCATGCTCGCGTTGACAATAGACGAGCCGGGAAGGGCCCTCTTAAGAGTTGCTAACGCAACTGGTGTGTCTCAACGCACAGTACCTACAGCGGATCGCAATGAGGGCAATATTTCGAGTTTACTTTCGGTATTCCGCACGCTTGTTAAAAAAGGTCTGTATCAAAACCTATTACTGATATAGATAATTTTAGACCAAGTAGTAATAAAAAGATGCATACACAACTTCCACAAAACTGAAAAATAAATGCCGACCATAAACATATTACTAGCGGAACTTAAACGGGATATATATTTTCAAGGTGCTAAAACGAGCTTAAAGACATTTGTCAAACCCTGGGTTTTCAAGTGGCGAAAGACGGAAACCAATAGAGTGGTTCTAATAGAGAAGACCGATATTTGCCTGAAAAGGATCTTGTGCTTGAAGGCAGTGAAGAAATACAGGGATGTAGGGCGACCAATTGTATTCATTGACGAGTCGTATGCCCACTCATCACATACAAAGTGATAAAAATCGGCCACTATAGAAAGGTGAGGTACCGAAATTGAATCTATAATTTATATGTTATTGTTGTAGCTTTCTACTAATTGGTCACACTATTAGGGAAATTTTATTCGTATATTGGTATATTAAAAAAATTACAATAACAGGTTTCTTTACGAGTGTATATGCGCTAAAGTTCGCAGAGTCTATGTTCAGACTCGAAAGATACGTCGGCTGTATTTACAAATTATAAAGTTGTATGTACGTGAGCCAGCAGTAGCTTGCTACAAATCTATTTATTTATGGTTTGCAGTTGGCAACACTTGTGCTAGCCACCCGTTATTCCGTATACAGAGAAACCTATAGACTAGTTTTAGGTTATACAATAATCTTTATGACTTATAAACATATTTAGATAAAAATTTGTTCTAAGAACTGAACTGATCAAGATTCACCAATCTTAAGCTCACAAAATACTTTTTTCTCACTTAAACCACATTGTAAACTCCTTAGATCGCTACGAACTGTCAAAGTTGTTTAGCAAAGTGTAGTTAGCTATTAAAAAAAAACCGGCACGGAAAAAGGGACTAACAATCACACCGCTCTGTCTCATTTCTATGCAAGACCTATGCATAAATCTATCTTTTTCATGTGCGAATGCGAAAGAAGGCGTCAATTTTTCTATAGGTTTCTCTGTCTACGCCTATGCTGCTTACCGTGAGTTTGCATTGACGCGATTTTCACAAAAAAAAAAACATGTTTTAAACACTGTTTTCTGTCAATGTATAAAAAAGCGTTTGCATAGTCAAAGAACATGTTGTAGTGAAATATGTTTGACAGTATTATTTATTACATATTTTAACTACGTTATATCTTTATAACTACAGAAAAAAAATGTTTATAAACAAATTTGTAGAATAATAGTCATGTTGAAAGATAAGTTTGAATATCTGTTGAAAAATTTACACAGTTGTGTGATTTGTTTTATGCGATTTGTTTCATAACATTACGTGTTGGATGTTTCTCAGTGCAAACGTACTGTTAGCTCGGGGAGTTTTGGCGGGAACTTGGCTGTCGACAGATTGTCGCTTGAATAATGGTTTGAAGTGGATTTTAATTCGTAAAAGTAATGCGATTTTGTGAATTAAGTATCTGCGTGTGTGAAATGTTATAGAAAACGATGATACTTGTTTCGTCGCTTTGATGTTGATATAAACCTCAAGTTAATTTGATCGCTTGGGCGCCTTATGAACTTGAATGGCTGTCGTCATCAACTGTCCGTGGGGACAAAATCTCCCAAAAAACTTCGTAATGTGACGCATTAGCCTATTGTGAAGAAAATGAAGATAGATATAAATATATAGAAAAGAAATGATAGGCTCAGAAGGGCCAGAACCCAGAGCCGCAAAGCCAGTTAATAAAAAAAATGTTTAGCTCGTGCTCGTGACGCCACTGCGTATACAGTAATCTATGCCACTGCGCACAGAGTACCTTTGTCAGGGGTAGGACAGTTGCCTTGGACCACAAGAATTCAATTGAAGGTAGCGCCATCCATAATTTGTTTCCGAAAACATTATGTTTATTATTGGTCTAGGGTCTTCACAGATGTCGCTACTTTTAAAAAGAAACTAAAATTAGCTTAAAAATAAAATTAAATGCACGATATTTTTGGTGATCTAACGAATTATTGGTGATTTTGTTTATAACAAATATTATTTTCACATAAAATAAAAACTTAAACATCGTGAAATCAATCGATTATGATAATTATGATACTGGCCACCCTAAACTTCAAAACGTCAAATATTCAAACGAAAATGAAAGTCAAAATGGTGGCTACTTTTTGCGTGTGCTCATCGTTATCTCTCTTGTTTCATTGCAAATACCCCATAAATACCAGTGTACTTACTGAAACTGTTTTACCTACTTTTAATAATATTAAAAACAGTATTACAAAAAGTAGGCAGTAAAACTGTTTTAGTTTGTATACGAACAATATTATACATTTTACTACTATAGAAGAGGTATATGTAGAGCTATATATAGCGAATTAGTTCGGATTCAATTTGTAGGAGGCGCTAGTAGTTCAATTTTGTCTGCAATAAAATGTCGTCAGAGGGCTCTCTTTTCCTGTATATACTTATTATACTCTTTGACCTTTGTATAACACTGCGCTAGAAAAATAGAAATTAAAACGATTTTACAAATTGCAAAGGAATAGGATATTTTTGGTTGTTTAATAATGGTTAATCATCCTTATCGTTGTTGTGCTGTGCCTAATTGCAAAAATACTAGCATAAAAACGCCCGGGAAGTTATGGATTCAAGTACCATCTAAATCTATGAGAATGAGAAATACTTGGTTAAAACTGGCTAGAAGAGACCCAAAGGCATTGTCTACCAAAAGTAAACTATCCTTCTGTGAAGATCACTTCGATGTACGTATGACTTATTTTTAACTATCGTTTATTACAAAACAATATTATGAGGTGTTAAGAGTATTGCAAGTCGAATTTTGTAATAGATTACGTTATCTTATAGATATCTAATGATTTCAAATGTCATAAAAATAAAAATTGCTTGTTTTAGCTTGAAAATGACATGGAGAATTACATACAATATAAGATTATGGGCTATATTAAACGAATTCGAATGAAACCAAACTGCATACCATCCAGATTCGATTGTCAGGTAGACAGAAAACGCAAGTTCACTCTGAATTATCCTCGACATTCTTTTATTAAACAGCAAAAAATGTCTTCAATTGAGGAGACTGAAGAGACAATGGATAATGAGTTGAACCATGTTATATCATTACCATCTTGTAATCAAGGTAATTTTATTTCATTGATTTTATTTGTAGTGTATGTCAATATTAATAAACTATCAATTTTATCGTTATATTCATCTGGCATAAAGAAATCAGCTTATCCAACACTTTTTTCTTTAGAGGAAATTAAGTCAGGTTTCACTACTGGCTGTATGAGGATGTTCAAGGTCGCTCAGCGAGCTATGGAGAGGGCTATGCTCAGAGTTTCTCTGTGTGATAAACTTAGAAATGACGATTTTCACAGTAGAACCAGAGTAACCGACATAGCCCATAGTAAACTGAAGTGGTAATGGGCCGGAAAAAAGGTTTTCGAGTGGCAGCCTCATATCGAGGTGTAGTGTCAGGTGACCCCCCCCTAGATACAGTGACGACCTGGTAAGACATGCAGGAAGTCGATGGATCCAGGTGGCTCAGGACTGTGCTTTGTGGCATTCCTTGATGGAGACCTATGTTCAGCAGTGGACTTGTGAAGGTCTACAATGATGATGAATATAAAAAAAGATCTTTTGATGATTAAAGAATGTACATTTAGTTATTCCTTAATAAACATAACTGCTCAATATACTGAGTATTCATCTACAATTTTAATAATTTAATGTAAGTTTGAATTTAAATAATTAACTATATTTGGTAGTATATGTAATGTATAGTTATTACTATCAAAATGCACTATTTATTTAATAGGTGGATTGCATACTTAGCCTTGTTCTGCATGTACCATCATACTCTATACACTCTTGTGCTATTTAGTGAAGGATATCCTTCTGTATAATGTACTTAGGAAGATTTACTGGTTTATAGATTCTACTATCATTAGCTATTAAGTTTCACTGTTTCAATGTATTTATTTATGTAAACAATATGGTTATAAAATAAAACAAATGCTATTAAATATTAATTTTTAGTACCTACATAATACATTTTATTTATTTCAGAGAATATACTTGTTGATCACAGATATACATGTAACAAGCACTATGACCACACATACTGTAAAATAAACAACATTCATCCTGCTCAAGACGGCCAGTTAGAGGACTGGTAAGTATTTAATCAATTTTAAAAATGTCTTTTCTTTTTAAAAGTAAGCAATTAGGCTGGCATATTTCCCATAATATTAAAAAAGTAGGTGGTAAATATCTTCAATTAAAAGTTTATTTTTAATAAGTGTGAACCACATTGATATGATAGTTGAAAAATGCAATGAAGGTTAAATAAAGCAATTAATTGTTTTATTTATAATGAAATAATTTTAAAATTCTTGTTTACGGATTTGATTTCCATGTTTCATCTGGTAAGTGTAGGTGGCCGGAGGCCCAAATCCCCCCCCCCCCCTTCCTTAACATGGTAGCGGAATTAAGTAAAGATCTACCCCAGGACGGTAGCAGCACCCCTGGAGAATTCCTTGTTTAGCATCCACGATCAAGTTACTCCACAAACTGAGCAACAAGACCAAGGCGACCCCTGCCACGCTATCCATGACTTTCTGCAATATCTGGGTACTTCTGTCTAACCTTAACGCTGTCCACTACCATCTCGAGACGGCGCGGCCGGCTCTGCTCTTTCTGACCGAGCCGCAGGTGTCCTCTCCGGCTGATGCTTCGTAACTCCCCTACCTGGGGTACAAACTGGAACACTCCTTTGTGCCTCGGTCTGGATTTTCCCCAATAATAAATGTTTGTGTTGTCTTGTTGTTGATGGGAAGCCTATCACAAAAAAATTATAAAAAATAGATTTTATTTACTTTGTTGTCACTCCCATGACTGGCTTGACATTGGCAGAACTCTTTTAAAAGAAACTATAAAGTAAAGAAGAAGAAGAAGAACAAAAATAAGTATTGTTTAATTATCATTGGTATGGCATCATAAATAAACATTAAACAATTAACAATTTCTGAATACAGAAAAATGATATTGGCTTTACAAAAATATGTTCATTATTGTGACCACATCACAGGTGTGTGTTATAGAACCAAATAGAAAATTATTCTATTCCATTCTTAGTTTTTTATTTACAGCATAATCTATGAGTTTTATTTAGGAAAATTATTATGTTAATAATGATGTTTTTATTGTTTAGGTGAGTTAACTTCACCAACACCTAAAAAGGTCAAGAAGAGGCTTTTACAAAGCATTTCTAAACTTTCTCCTCAGTGCAAGGCTACTTTATAATGAATTTAAAAGTCAAAACGTTGTTGTAGGTTTTTTATTCTTTTGGTCAGACTATAAAGTCCATAGATTGTTACGAATAAGGACCAAAACATTGCCCGTATAATCATTTATTATTAATCTATCAGATAACTCTAATACAATAAGCCAATTAAAAACAAATAAATGATGCTCTGTTATAGGTGAACGTTGATAGTAGAATTCAAAGAATATATTATAATTAGATACTAGCTAATACCCGCGATTTCGTCCGCGTTCTAAAACTTTATATTAAACTACTTTATATTAACTACACTGCGATATAAAGTCCGTAAAAGTAGTTTTAATGTGTTCGCGTAAATATAAGAAATCAATATATCGCGATAATAGGTATTATTTTTTTAGGCAAGGGTCAAGTTTTATTTATATAGAAGTAGGATCGTGAGATTCTTTTTCATGACGCGCTGTCATCATTGATAGATGTTCCTACCTATATCCTTAGGATAAATAAACTAAAGGGTATCCTCTCCTATTTAAGTTTAAGATAATAGAATCCCGCATTACGTTGCGAAAATCCATTATTACGCTGATATGAGCAAATTAATATTTAAAATCATTAATTAATGAATAATGTGGAAGTAATGACGGATGATAGAGGAATAGATGTGTTACGTGTAAGTAAGAAGAAACGGAAAGGATGTCACTACACATGGTACTTATACCGCATACTGGTCTGGTATAGACTAAACCGAGCGGGCATGCCAGGGAGAAGTTATCCTTTCAGAAAGAATGGGTCAATGTGTGAAAGAGTATGATTGTGTAAGCCCGAGACTGCTATGGATACGATTGAAAGTGGGCTTAAGAGAAGTTGTTTGTGCCAGGAGTCTACGCCCCAGACATGTTCATCTGAGTCCACTTATATTCGAGAGCAGTTTTGGGAGATGGTAAGGACGGTGTTAATGAAGTGTAAGGGAAATGAAAATATTTTTATGCTAGGAGATTTTAATGGAAGGGTTGGGGTGAAGAGGCTTGGTTACGAAAGCATATTTGGAATATTTGGGGATGAAAGTATAAATGAGAATGGTGAAAGCCTCCTCACCGTATGTGTGGAAAAGAATATTTTTGTGACGAATACCTTTTTTCGTCACAAAAGATTCACATGTATACTTTGGAAAGAGGTGATGATAGAAGCATGATAGATTTCATAATTGTGGATGAAAGATAGGGACGGACCATTATTTGGTTTTATGCCGAATTAACGGTCTATTCAGACATTGGCGGCATCGGACATCTGTGTCTAACACTGCGTTACAGTGTATTAGACCAGAGAGATTACAAGATGAAGATGAGAAAAACAAGTACAAATGTAGGCTGAAAGAAAATATAAGGGGTTTGGATGAATTGTGCATGAGTGAGTTAGACTTGGAGAATAAATAACAAAATATTAAGAAAGGTTTAGTAGACGCCGCTACCAGAATATGTGTCAATGCATGCAAAGCAATGAAAAGCATGAAAGGAGGTAAGGCAGCCGGATATGATAGAGTTTCACTCGAAACGCTAAGGGCTGAAGAGGTAGTGGTGGAGGCAAGCCTGCTGCACACTTTGTTCAATTTATGCTGGGAACTGAAGCGGGTACTGGTGAAAAGCCGTGATAGTCCCAATATATAAGGGAAAAGGGTCGCAGCAGGACTGTAAATACTACCGTGGTGATTATCCCTTCTTAGCATTTTGGGAAAACTGTATGCCAAGGTACTAGTTGGAAGGATCATGGAAGAAATTGATGAAAGAATTTGAGATGTTCAAGCGGGATTTAGAAAGCGAATGGGATGTATAGATCAAGTCTTTTCAATGCGCATGATCGCGGAGTGGTTTTTGGCCAAAAATTAAAGAGTTTTCTGTGCGTTATAGACTTGGAAAAGGCTTATGACATAGTGGACAGGGATATGTTATGGCAAATACTGAATTCATTTGGGTTGAGCGCTGGATTGATACAGGGATTAAAGTCTCTTTATAGGGACTTTCTAGTGTTTGTGTTAGGATCAACGGGATCTACTCGGACCGGTTTGGCATCCATAAAGGTGTCAGACAGGGCTGTGTGGCTTCCCCGTGGCTGTTCAACCTATTTATGGACAGTTATTTGAAAATTTTGAAAGCTGAAGAATGCGGATTAAGAATGGATGAGGTAATCATCAAATGCCTTTTTGTACGCCGATGATCAAGTTATTTTTGCGTCGTCGGCGGCCGAGTTGCAAATGATGGTTACATTAATGAACAGGTCTTTAAAAGAAAGGGGTATGAAAGTGAACGCAAGTAAGACGAAAGTTATGGTTTTTGAAAGAAAAGAAAATAAAACGATATGTGAAATAAGAATAAAAAGGGAGTTGATCGAGCAAGTAGATGAGTTTGTATATTTGGGATGTGTATTCAGCAGGGATGGGTGATGAGGACAGAACGACGAGTGAACACAGGAAATAAAGTAAATAGGGCTCCACACTTTATTGTAAAAAGTCAGAATGTGTCAAAAAAGGCACGTATGGGAATTCACAAAGCTGTGTTAGTTCCTACTTTAACGTATAGTAGTGAAAGTTCGGTGTGGCAGAAGAAGCACAAGAGTGGAATAAATGCAGTAAAAATACGGTTGCTAAGGAGTATGTTATTGCTCAATCTGAGTGACAGGGTGAGAAATTGTGTAATAAGATAGAAGTGTCGTTTGCAAGATGATGTTGTTACAATGATTAAGAAAGGAATGCTTCGGTGGTTTGGTCATGTAGAAAGAATGAATGACAAAGGAGTGACAAAGCAAATTTATGTTACAGAAGTGAATGGAAGAGTCGGAAAGGGACGTCCTAGGCGAAAATTTATCGACCAAATTGGCGATATATTGAAAATGGGCCAAATTAGGAGTACCCTTAACCGACGAGCATGTATGCGTAGGTATATGAATGTGGAGGAGGCGAGAGAGATGTGTCAGGATCATAGAAATATTAAAAACTTCATTATTATATCTATGGTCAGGATCGTGCCAAATGGAAGTCTGTGGTCTCTGCCTACCTCTCTGGGTGACAGGTGTGAGGGTTTATGTTTATGTGAAAGTTTGTTTCGTTCGATGTTTGTATGTTTGTGGTTCAATCACGTAAAAACTACTGAACAGATTTTGATAAAATTGGTATTCTTTTAGATAACAAACCAGAGTAGGACATAGATTGTATTTTTAGTATAACCTTTCTTTAGTTTTTTAATCCATGGTGTAACAAAAAAATCGTAAGCGGAGATGGTTAAAAGCTAGAAGTAAATAAATATGGGAAAATAATCTTTTGTCAAGAGTGAATTATATTCCTTGGTAATGAGATTTATTAAACATATTATACTCGTAAAATTAAAATCCTATAAGCAGTGTAACATGATTGGCTGTGTGGTAGCGGTGTGCCAATATCCACTACCTACCCCATATCGTTCCGTGGTTCTCGTAAGAGGCAACAAAGGGAAACGCACCAGAGGATGGGCAGCACAGTCTACTCATTAACAACTAAAAATAAAAAAATTGCGGTTGCCAACCCGCCTGCCAAGCCTAGCAACTATGGCAAATGTCCCCTCTATGAGACAATCAATGGGGGAAGCCTGGGTTCAGCAGTGGACTTCTATATACTTTTGAATTGGCTGTAACGGTAAGCAGTGAAATATATTACTTAGCTCTTGTAAAAAAGTGCTGGAACCTACCTATTCACACCTCAGTGATTTTTGCATAGAATAGAAATTTAAAATTAATCACGATAAAATCACATAAAATTCGTTTAACTCCTTGTGTAGTATTCGCGTAAATAATAAAATCCGTAAAATTCGTTTAATTCCTTGTGTAGTATCGCGTAGATATAAGAGATATCATTAAAATTAAAAATAATTCGAAAAACATATAAGTTAGTACATATAGGTAACGTCACGAGTCATGGAAGTGCGCAGAACCGAAAAATACAGGTGTCGGTACGGTGAGGTGTGAGGTACGGGGAAGCGAAACCATAGCAACGGGCGTCGCGCTACTCCCAAGTAGTTTCTTCTTGCGTCCCGTAGCCCGCGCACCTTCTTGTGTCGTCTTGTGTACTATCGATATCGAAAGTGTTAGCGACTACCTGTTATAAAATTTAAAATTTTTGCGATTATTTTTGTACTTTTAAAAATATTGTACTATAATATATTCAAATAGTAATCTATTACTTTATACACTATTTTGGGACTATTTAAAATAGTGTAGTTCGTATTACGGATTCGTATATTGTATAAAGTTGTAAATATTTTGTTATTTTCTACAAGAAGAAATTTTTTTGCAAATTATTTCATGTAGAATATCCTTATAATCGAAGGCTATCGCATAGTATAGTTTAAACAGCAATTACAAATACAAAAATACAAATACAAAATATTTTATTTCTTTAACTAAGTGTACATAAATGCGGAATATTATTTAGAAGCATATAAAACGCAACGATGATATATAAATATATCGTTCAGTTTTCGTGGAGACTTTGATGTGTAGTAATAATGTTGACCTTTGACTTTTTACATATTAAAATGCCATAATAAAATTTTAATTTTTCTGCTTGATTGTACATGCGCAGTGGACTCTATTTAATTTCATTTTACGTGGCACGACCTATACCATAGATCTGTTGTAACTATGGTTATATTGTAGTATAGATTGGGGATGGAGTGATTAGGGCAAGACCTCTCGGTGAGACAATAAATAATAGTACTACGGTACTACGGAGACCAAATCAAAATGGACTAGTGTGCGTGTAATGTTTTATGGTTGTAAACATATTATAGTAATTAATATTAATAATTATATGATGATTCCTCTATATTTGTTTGCCCCTAGTAAACGGTAATGATGATAACGTTTTCCGCAATTACGGCTTAATGACCACTTACGATGCAATTTGAATATTGTTTATGAATTTTGAGTATTAAGTCTTTTTTTTAATTGGTATTAGGTACTTAAATAGAAGTTGAAGATATTGTTAAGTATATGATATATTGATTACCTACACCTACCTAACTCTTATTATTGTGGGGTATCTATATAGTTTTCTCATCTGGTTGGGTTCTATAAATATATAATTATAAATGAAAATGAAAAGATAAATATAAATAAATATCAATAACATAAAATAAATATAAAAATACATAAATAAATAAAAGCCCAACCAGATGGAGGCCCTCGGCAGGGGAGACCAAACGGCCGAGGGTTAGGGGGAAAGGGAAAGAAACCGGCGGACGATGCGGGCGGTATCGAGGAGCACCGCCTTCTGCATTTGAGCCCGGAGCGGTCCGCCACGTAGTCCCAGTCGCCTCAGATGACCCGAGAGGCTGACTGGGATTAGCCCGTTTGCAGAGACGACTACAGGAATAATTTCGGTCGGCAGACCATCCCACATGTCAGTCACCTCGTGAGCCAGGTCCAGATATTTTGTTTGCTTGTCTGTTTCGGCTTTCACGAGGTTCTCGTCATACGGAATGGTAATGTCGACCAAAAATATCCTTGTCTGTGCCCGGTCCATCAGCACAATATCAGGCTTATTCGCAAGAATAGTCCTGTCTGTGATGATGGCCCGGTCCCAATAGAGCCTGGCGCGATCATTTTCGAGCACGGCTTCCGGCAAGTACTTGTAATACGGCAATTTCCGATCCACGAGACCGTATTTCAGAGCGAGCTCCTGGTGAAGAATTCTGGCTACTAGGTTGTGCCTGTGCAAGTACTCAGAGTTAGAAAGCGCCGAACAACCGGAGATGACATGCCTAAGTGACTCACCGGGATGGCGACAAGCTCGACAGATGTCCACGGTGCCATCCTTTAGGATGTATCTCCGATAGTTGTTGGTCTTAATAACTTGATCCTGTATTGCACAGACAAAACCCTCGGTTTCCCCGAAGAGATCACCAAAGCGTAGCCAGTGGAGGGAGGCTACTGTGTCTACGAAAGGCTCATGTAGAGCCTTGTAGAACCTCCCGTGGAGCTCCTCCTTCCATACGTTCTCCCGGTCGGAAACTGTCTGCACTGCCGGGTCTTGCCATTACTCGTTGGCTAGGGATAGAGGGGTAAGTCCTTTATCACTAGAAATGACGTCCTTATAGAATGGATCATCCGATCTCGCCAGGAAGTAATTACGGAGGCTGCACACTTCGCGATTATGCATGGTGAGCGCGCTCAAGAAGCCACGCCCACCATGCTTTCGCGGCAAGTACAGCCTCATTACCGACGATCTCGGATGATGCATCCTGTGGGACGTCATGGTAGTGCGGACTTTTCTATCCAGGGCGTTAAGTTCAGTCTGAGTCCACCTGAGTATGCCAAAGGTATACATGAGGACAGGCATGACCCAGCCGTTATATGCGTGTGTCTTATTCACACCGGACAAAAGGCTGTTAAGTACTTTGGTCAAGCGTGCATAAAACACGTCGCAAACTGTTTCATACCAGCCTCATCGATACCGATGTTCTGTGACATACCCAGGTATCGGTATGTTTCAGCCTCGGAAAGGGTCCTTAAGTTGACGGGCATAGATAAGTCTATGCCCTCAGAGTTAGCAACCCTCCCCCTTTCAACATGGAGGACCGCACACTTATCCGTTCCCAGCTCCATTCCAATAGAATTGCTAAATTCACAAGTGATGTTTAGCAATTCCATAAGATGGGAGCGATTGGAGGCGAATAACTTGAGGTCATCCATATAGAAAAGGTGGGTCACTTTTGTACCTCCTTTCCGAAGCTGAAATCCCCTCCCGGAGCCCTCCAGTAAAGTACTGAGAGGGTTCAGGGAGAAGCAAAACCACATTGGACTCAGACAATCGCCCTGGAAGATACCCCTTCTTATCCTTATGTGGTTCTCCGCAGCCATCATCCGCTCGCCCAGATAGCAAAGGATCGTACTCCATTGCCCCATACACTGCTCGAGGAAGTCTCCAACTGTACAGTCAATTTTGTACAGCTGGAGGACTCTCTTTAGCCATGTATGGGGTACCGAGTCGAATGCCTTTCTGTAGTCTATCCAGGCGGCGGAGAAATTCCGACGGTTGCGTTTCACCACTTTGCCAATGACCGCGTCAATGAGGAGTGGTTCCTTGGTTCCACGACCACCGCCCCGGCATCCTTTTTGAGCGCGTGACATCACCTCACAACTCTTATTATTATTATTATTAATATAACAAAAGAAATATTTTGTTAAGTAATACCAATTACGAATAATTTTGCCCAATGTCAATACAATGCACGGTATTTGATGTGTAATAAATAAGGATAAAATAACATTTGTGAATCACTTATCACTATTCGTGAACGTGAACACACCACTTCGATCTATGGGAACTGTTTCAAAATGATTTCGGTTATTTTAATCTTCTTGTTAAAGTTTTATATGTTTTCATGTGATTCAAATTGTCGTAACTTAGTAACGTGCGGTAATTGCATAGGCTATGCGTATGAAACATGTGTTTGGTGTCCCGCTGTAAGTAGATATGTTTTTTGATTTTTGTAACAAGTGTGACTAAGCTGCACATAATTCACCTTGTGATAACTGTATGTTTTTTTCTCTTTCATATAAGTGTATTATTAAGTAGACTATCTCCTGCTTTGTGAACAACAGTCCTTTGCGTAAAAAGGTTGTCTGGAAGAAATCGCTTTCAGAGCCATAAGACTATATAATATATTGGTATACAATAATGAGTATATTGATCAATCGGTCAGGGCCCATCAAAGACTATATAACCACTTGACTGCGCATACAGTGCCCCGGCGCTCGAAAACTATTAGTATTTTGTCGCCTATGCATCGGCTATGGTACTATTAACCATTTTAGTATTGTCCAAGTGTTAGACCTGTGTGCACACTAAATTAATGCAAATTTTTATAACTTTTATGCAATTATAATGTATCAAAATGCCTTCATGCGCAGTGAAGTGGTGTGGGAAACATTCTAGGACAGATGTCCAAAAATAATGGAGCGAACTTTTCATTGCTAAGTAAAAAATACGAAAATTATTGTTGATTAATTCAGATTATGAGCCACCGCAGGGGTCTATCTAAAACGGTGGCCGGGTAAATAACGACATGGTTGAGTCGCACGTTGATGTCTTTTGGAAAAGTCTCGTTCTATTATTAGACAATTCTAATGCTTCTATCCCTTTCTTTCCCTTTGTATGTTTATCGTAAACATTAGTACTTACTGTTACCTTTAATAGCTGAAAGTCGATATCGAAAATAATAAAATTATTAAGATTATTCAATTCACACACTGTGAAAAAATACTTATCTACTTTTAACCGTCTTCATAAAAAACAGGAGGTTCTCAGTTTGTCGGTATTTTTTCTTAGTTAAAGTTTATAGTTACCTAGTTAAACTAGATTGGTGTACCAAATCAGAACGGCTTACAATTTCAAAAGGACACTAAAGACAAGTTATTGTCCGGATCCACTACAGTAATAGATATTTGTCGTCGTTGTAAAATTTTTAATAAGAGGGCGATCAATGAGAGTGGTTCAAAAGTGCTGTCTTCGAAATATAATACCAATTATTTTATAAGAACGGTTTTAAAATCTCTGATTAGGTATTATTGATTCCCGGATATTCATTTTCATCAATATGAAATAGAATCAAAAAATCATTTAATTGAATTAGCAAGATGCATAATTTACAAATTTGTAGACGCTTGTTTATATTTTTTTACAAAGAACAATTAGGACCCTTAAACTTCAATTCGAAATAAATATAACAAATTAATTCATTTTAAAAATCAATAATAATATAATAAATAAATGTTTTCGTTTTAACTGATTGATTTTGATTAAATATTATTTCTATAATTTTAATTGAGTATTTTTCATAATGATAAAATCCATTTTATCGATAACGAATATTTTCCTTTATTAAGAAGAGCAACCCTAAAGATAGCCATAACAACGCAACTTGACCATTTGCAGCCACGCGTTCTTCCTCGTCCCCCGGCCCGCAGTAGTGAGTCGTATGCTTAGAAGAAATCTGCCTATACGCTCTCTAGTGGTTATATTCTCTATGGGGCCCATGCAAGAAATGAGATCCATCGTCATCCTTGACGACTAGATTAAATTGAATGGCTATCTATCAGTAGGTGTCCGGTTCTCTTTATGATTCAAAGTGCATTGGCGTGTTATGGCTACTCAAGAGGATCCATCATTCTATTGTATATATACAATATAATATAGACATTGTTTACTAAAATGTTACTAAAGCTCGGTCACCGTCATCAATAACATGTGTAATTTTTATTAGTATAAAAAATAAGTGTTTGAAATCTTTTTTCTTTATACGTGGTAGAGGCACGCTACAGCTATATTATGTTTGTAGCACGAATAGGTCGACTCGACCGGGAAAGGACTACACTCTCATAGAATACCAGTGTAAAATAGCAGCTTAATGCAGCTGTGTTTCGTAGGTGAGTAGAGATCCGGAGACCCTTTTTTACTGGAATAGAGGCATTCCATCTTAGTCCTCTTGGATGACAATGCATCTGCGTTTTGCTTCCTAATCGAGGATAAATGTAAATGTCCATGGGTCACAGCATCCACTTACCATCAGGAGGATTGTGTACGCGATTGTCACACTTATTCTATAAAAAATATTTATAATTATTACATACAAAGTTGACGATGTTTTTAATGAAATAATAAAGCAAATTTAAAACTAACTTAGGATACGGCTTGAATGACCGTTTTGTCAAAGCGTGCTGCTAGGGCCGCCAGGTCTTAAAACCGAAACGCCGGACAGACCAGCGAGCTTAGCCGGACATTTTTGTTAAAAAGGCCGGACACCCTTATTTTTTTTCTTGGTAAAAGACATTTTTTTAAATGTAAAACAATGTTTTTTATCATCTACCGTAAAATCTTCTTAAGTTCTAACGAAATAACAACAATTGAATAAATCAGTCTTCTTTATTATTAATTATACAATATTCATTACAATATCAATTTCGATAATTGCAAAAGTATGTACATATGTAAGTATATGAAAAATGTAAGGAAATGGTCAAATTTAAAAAGCCTTACAAAAGCCGGATACCACCTTTTTACTTATAATATCATTGCCGGACACCGTCTAATTTGGCTGGACACGCAACCAAAAAGCCTGACTGTGTCTGGCTTTATCCGGACGTCTGGCAACGCTACGTGCAGCGTGACGGAGCGTTCGGCATGCACGAGACACACAGGCTCATGTCCACCGTCCGCTGTTATTTCTTATTTGTTTGTTAAAAGAGATAATAATATTGTTACTTTCTTTGTTTCATAATTTTGACTCTTATTGCCCCATAGAATGACTTTCATTCTCCTTACATGTGGGTAATTGGAATCAAAACTACTTTTTTTATTGAATAAAACTAAATTTACGGATTTTATCGCGTTTATTTCACTACTTTTACTTATTTATAATTCCCGACGTTTCGGGTGTTTTACAGCAACCATGGTCACGGGGGGGACTGAGATGTTTGACGTCCCAATGTCATTGTTAGCCCGGCTACCTTCAGTTTTTGAATATTAATTTTTGGTCCGATTTACGCATATTAATTTTTGGTTTTATTCAATGTGTAGTGTTCGCGTAAATTTAAGAAATCATTAACTACTTTTTTATTTAATTATAATTATGTTTATGGTAATGATAGCCAAAAAATACTTAATTATCTTCATACTTAACTAGTTTTTAAAGATAAGTAAATGTGAAAAAAATATAAGACTGATTATTAGTAACTACAATAACGAGTTTTCCCTATGTTAGGTACTCCAAATTCCCCCAACTTCCCTATGCTGCACGCTCCGCTACCACGCACGATTCCCCGATCACTCTCAACTCAGGACTTCACATAAGGTTTCATTGGAAAGCGTTCTCATCAACTCGTGTGGGCACCATGAGGACACTAATACAACAGCGTGTGTTTGTCAAGTCACCAGACCTTACTTACATTTACTCCGGCACACGTTAATCCTATTGATGATTCATAATAATTATTGTTCTTGGCATTTAAACGTTGGAGATGATGTTAGTTTGGTCTAGACGAGGCCATAGTGGAGATATATCTGATTAAAACATCGTAGGTGCATTACGATACTTAGTGTATCCCATAATTTCTTGCTAATCATCAATATCGTCGTCGTCATTCTCATGATCATTACAGCCCTCTACAAGTCCGCTGTTGAACATAGGCTGTGATATAACAAAGGAATGTCACAAAGCCTGGTTCTGAGCCACATGCGTCCATCGACTTCCTGCATTTCTTACCAGGTCATCACTCCATCTAGTGGAGATCCGCTCTACACCTCGCTTACCGGTCCGAGGTAGCCACTCGAGAAACTTTCTTGTTTATGAGCTCTCTATCCTCCGAAATTCTGAAGAAGTTCCAATGTGTGGATGCATTTCAAGTTGTCGCGCGTATTTTAATTGAAGAAACCGATATGGACCGACCAACTCCCAACGTTTAATCTAAACGTTGGGCGAACGGTTTTGAGGACAGCGTTAGAGTCAAAGTTTGGAGCCGAGGTTAAAGAAGAGTGTTCGGCGGTGCGAGCGACGCAGCAGTAACAATAAATTCTACTCAGAACTTTCATAACATGTTTGTCATACGCGCTGTGAGAGCTCTACCCCTCTACCCCGCTCTAACACGCTCACCATTTCGTTTCTATACTATGCATCGCATTGCACAAAATTGCACTTAAAGCTTCCGTCTAGCTTTGCTGTTTTAAATCCCCAGCCATTAGAGGAAGCGTTCTCCCCCGTGCATAAATACGTTCGAGATCGCAGGTGAAGGTGCTCTACTTCATTAAATATATAACTTATTAATTTTTTTACCAAAAATATTCATTTTACTTTTGTCGTGGTAGTATAATTTTTTACCCTTTTATATTTTATAAATGTTGTTTTTAGTAATGTTTATACGGGGTGTAGGTTTAAAAAGGGTATATACAACCGAAGGTAAATAAAAGCTGCCTCTTCATACAAATTTCGCCTCTACCTTGTACATTTTTGACTTTACTACTACTTTTACTACAATTTTTACTGACACAAGGTTATTTCTTCTTTTTTCTATCCATCTTTTTCCGTTTATTTTTTTGGTAATAAATTATATATAAAACTTAAAATATATAAAACATACCAAATATAAAAGTCAAAATCAATTAATCTAATACTAATATAAACATTAAAAACTAGAACTAATATGACAATTATATAAAAATAATATATATTTAAGTAGAGTAACTTTCACGATATGCTCCGCTCAGTCCAGAAGAGCTGCGCGAGGGAAAGAGATCAACCGTGCGAGTGAGAGATAAAGTAACGTTGAGCAACACTGCACACGTCTGAAAGCCCAGCGGAACTGAGAATTTTCAGGCGTTTCTGGTTTATAAATGGCATATAGGTGAAAAGTACGAAAATATATACTTTTTTAATCTTATTTAATTCTAACTCACTTGAAAATCGTCAAAAAACAAAGTCGTACTTAAAACCACATAGAACTATATGTGGTTTTAAGTACGACTTTGCTACATTTATACTTCTAATAGAAAAAAATTATGCAAAAAACTTGCAGTAAAAAAAATCATGAAATTATAATTTTTTTAGCCCTTCAAATAAGAAAATTAAAGCATTTATAAAAAAGTGACCAGATCAGATTATTGTAGACAATATGTAAATAAATGTGATCTGAATACTTTTCTTGATATTGTTGTAGTTTGTACATAGCAGAGGCTTTAATAAGACCTTTTACGCATGTAACCTAAACATAGGTATGTTTAACGCCTAATAGAGCTATTAATTTAAACACCAAAATAAAATTAAAATACATATTCGAAAATATCAAATCCTACACTTTAGTTAAATATAAAATATGTTTCACTTTTTCTTTTTTAAATACTATAAAAAATATTTGTTTTGCTGTAAATTTTGCGAGAACACTAATTTTTACAAGACTGGGGCCTTAAGTCGGTTTTTTTACTCATGTACCTACTTAAATAGATTACTTACTTTCTTGTACTTTTGTAAAATAGACAATACATATTGTGTTAAAAATGTGTTACGAGCTGTCTCCTCGACCGCGTATATAATTTTTAGAATAATATCATATAGATATCATATTATTAAAAATTAAAATTATCTAGTATGGTTTTTATTTTGTTTGCGTTACAAACAATTTAGCGTACAACGTTATCATGTGTAAGTGGATATTAATCATTTTAGGGGGACCATAAAGGGCACCGATGCCAGTCTATAAGTGTTCATAAAGAAAATAATTCATGGTGCAACGAAAATGTTTATAATCCAGTATTTAAGTCTAACATTCTACAAAATGATACGTTTAATTCCGGAGAAAATGGAGGAAAAGTAGTACAATATATGCCCCAAAAAATGGATATACTAGTTCGTCCAGGAACACCGGTCACATTTAAGATGTCATATAAATCAGCGCAAGATTATCCACTGGATGTTTATTATCTCATGGATTACTCGTACACTATGCGCAACCACAAAAAACAACTTGAAACTCAGGGTTTGGAAATATATAGACAACTGACAAAACTTACAAATAATGTTCAACTGGGCATAGGAAGCTTCGTTGAAAAACCGGCACTTCCCTTTGCTGGGTAAGCTCTTTGACTCTTATTTAAAGTGAAAACTAGGTTTTACCGATGTTTCGAGCACTTTTCAGTACTTATGATCACGGGGGGAGGGGGGTGGACTAAGGTGTTTTGACGTCCCAATGTCATAGTTAACTACGGCTACCTCCAGATTAAAATGTAAAATAAAAATGTAGAAGAAGCCTTTAAGATTTTCGAAAAGCAGTGTTGACAAATTAAAGCTAAAGATAATATTCCACATATAATTATTCAGTCCATTGCAGCAGTTAAAAGTCCACTGCTGAACATAGGCCTTACCAATAGATTACTCATAGTGGGGAATTCGCAATAGTTGCCACGCTAGGCTAGGCTAGGCTTGGGATGGCAACTGCAGTTTTTTTTATAAATTAGACTTGTTATCAGGAAGATGATGCTGCTAATCTTCATTTTCAGTTTCCCTCCGTCACCTCTTACGACACCCACGGGACGATATGAGTAGTAGTCATTCTGACACCGCCGCCACATGGTTAACCATATTAAATAAATCGTTAATAATTACACAGTAAACTGTTGTTCCCAATGGATATAATATATAAAAGGGAATAAGTACCTAATGGACTAACAGCTGACAAAGTTTCATTGCTAATACTTCGATAGTAAATTGAAATAAGGTTTTAATATAGGGAACAGTCCACTGTACCACAAAATAAACTGCAATGGCCGTTATTGTTGAACTTCACATAAAGTTATAGTTTATACACGTCCCACGGCTGGACATATTGATGGACTTCACATGTCTTTGAATTTTTTTTTATTTCTCAGGCGTGCAGGTTTCCTCACGATGTTTTCTTCATCCACTTAAAATTGCAATAAACAATTTCATTGGTGTCGGCGGGATCGAACCCGGGTTGCTAGAGTACTGTGAAATTTACAGCGAGCGCTAAGCACCTGACCTACCACGGCTCTGAATTTTGAATTCCGAACTGCACATATCCCTAAATATTTTTAATTACACAGGTTTTCTTTCATCGCAAAACACGTGATAAGTCAGTACTTATTTAGCAATTATTAATTTCAATGAAATCGAAGAAATTGAGCTTCGAAGTTTTACACATGACATCGAATTCTGGATGTGTTTTCAATCGTACAATTGCAGATTAGGGCCAATGTTGCCATACTGATCGAGTGGATATTGACGAGTTACATTGTAGTATTCTTTTCTGAAATGCAGTTTTTGCTGACGAACATCGGATCGCATACGTGGATGGGTTGAGGCACGAGGTGCATTTCAAATTGCAATTAGCAATCTTTTTGATGCTAGTGGGAATATAATACGGTTTGTTCGTGTACAAAATTGAAAGGGAGTCCCTGAGCTACTATGTTGAAGAGTGATATTTGGAAGACTGATGGTCTTCGATAAAATAGCCCTAACATCATATTTCGGAATCTTTAGAATGCTACTCACGAGCTGTGATAGGATTATGAAATACTTACTATCTTAAAATTACTAATTATAGATAGTTATCGTTACTAGTACGTTAACTAACTTAGTTGGTTTTAAAATCACATATTTATTTTTGGCCATCAAAATTTCCCATTTTGTTACTTCGTATGTTGTAGACGTTGTCATTTTTCAGACCATACAATAATGCTTATTCCTTTGAAAACCATTTGTCTTTAACTAAGAATATGACCCTGTTCAAAAATGTTTTAACCGGTAACCTAACTGGTTCAAATTATGACAATCCCGAAGCTGGGCTCGACGCGCTAATGCAAGCTATGGTATGCCAAAAACAAATAGGCTGGAGGGAGAGTGCCAGACGCATCATAGTCCTGACTACGGACTCCACTTATCACAGCGCTGGTGACGGTAAGTTTGTTGGAGCCGTAAAACCGAACGATATGAAATGCCACCTTGAAGATAATAAATACACGATGAGTTTAGTACTCGACTACCCGTCTGTTAGCCAAGTCAATAAAGTAGCCACTGAAAACAATTTCAAAATAATATTTGCTGCGATTCACGATGTGAAAATAATATATGAAGGACTGGCTAAGAAAATAAGAGGTGCGAAATATGTAGAATTAAAGGAAGCTTCAAATTTGATAACAATGATAAAAAACGAATACCTGGTAAGTTTGTTACTTTTTATATGTTTATTCATTTATATTACATTCATCATTATTATTTCATTACAGCGTATCAATAATCCATAGCTGATTATTTTTTTATTAACTGGCTTTACGGCTCTGGGTTCTAGCCCTTCTGAGCCTATCATTTCTATCGGAATCTTGGTTTTCATATATTTTTTCTTCACAATATGCTGATGCGTCATATTGCGAAGTTTTTGGGAGATTTTGACGACAGCTCAACCCAGCGGACAGTTGATCACGACAGCCACTCGAGTTCATAAGGCGCCCAAGCGATTAAAATAACTTGAGGTTTATATCAACAACAAAGCACTTGTTTCGTCGTTTTCTCTAAAAGTTCACACGCGCAGATACTTAATTCTCAAAATCGCATCACTTTTACGAATCAAATTCACTTAAAACCATTATTCAAGCGACAAAACAGGAGCGACAATTTGTAGACGGCCAAGTTCAGTTCGGCCCAAATATCCCCCATATTTGTCTTTGTTTGACTAAATAATGTATTTTGTTTATTACGCTCACATTCCTTGTATGCATTTAGTGTCCAATAGATCGTTGAACAGAGCATACGTGTTTAGTTTTATTTCACTATACCCAACCAAGTGACGACCTTATTCAAAGCAACATATGGTCCTTCGAGCCGGATCCAGCGACGTTTACCTGCTCCTTTAGGGGCTGCCCAAGAACAAAGATTTGAAAAAAAAAAGGGTCGACTTGTTAACAAGTGTTGGAGTTTAAATTCATTAGCAAGAGTTTTGAGTTTAAATTCATTTCATTTTACTTTGTTAAGATTAAAGATTTTATATCTACTTTGTATAAATAATGGCTACGGAAGTGGAAAAAGCTTTGATTAAAGTGGAAAACATTGCACACACTATGAAGAAAACACAAATTAACCTGAAAAAGTGCCCAAAAGCAAGATTAACACGAAATTACGTCGAATCACGCCTTAAATGTTTAGAAGATTATTGGTGCGAATATAAAGAAGCTTACGACCAAATTATTTGCAACATATCGAGGGAAAAAAGAGAGCAAATACCGTACATTGCGCAGGAGGAGTTTTATGACCATGAAGAAATATACATTACTTTGAAAACTGAGCTCAAAGATTTGTTAGTATCCCAACAAGTTAGTGATAGTGCTCCGTTATTAATATCAAGTGAATCTCAATCTCAACAAACTCGTGTAGTGCTACCCAAAATACAGTTACCAACCTATAGTGGGCATTATGAAGAGTGGTTATCGTTTCATGACTTGTTTAATACACTTGTTCACACTAACGAAACGCTTAATAATGTACAGAAATTGCATTATTTAAAAACTAGTCTTACTGGTGAAGCTGCGTCTATATTAAAACATGTACAGGTAACAGATTCGAACTATGAACAAGCATGGGACATATTAAAAAGACGATATGGTAATAAACGAATAACTATCAACGCCGTCATGAAAAAACTTTTTTCACAAAAGAAGATGACCGTAAATTCTTCAAATCATATTAAGAGTTTGCTAGATACTACGTTCGAATGTTTGCATCAGCTTAAAAACATGAAGGTAAATATTGAAAACTGGGATCCTATGATAATATTTGTGACTGTGCAGAAACTAGACTCTGAGACGCATAAAGACTGGGAAGAACACGTTAGCAACAATTGCCAAGATCCTGATAGTCTTCCGTCACTCGATATTTTTCGTAAATTTTTAGAAAGCCGTTTTCGCACGTTGGAGCTCACAGAACCGACGAAACAAAGATTGAATAATAATGTCATCCAACGAGAGAAGTCGTATCACATTACAACCAACGTAGAAACATGCAAAAAATGTCAAATGTGCAATGAAAATCATACACTTAGCCATTGTAAAGTGTTCGGAAAACATTCACCACTACAACGAAGTGAATTCATTAAAACTAATAACTTGTGCTTCAATTGCCTTTCACCTGGACACTCTGTAAGGCAATGTCGTATTCCAACATGTTGTCGGTTATGCAAAAGGCGCCACCATTCTCTTCTTCACGAAAATAAGGAAATCAACGTAAGTGAAAGCACAACAGGCAATTCTGATAAAGTACGTACAAAACAACCTGAAGTGGCTTTACATACAAACGTGGAGAAGAATGAAGGAGAGAAAGAAAGCATTACAGTGGTTGCACACAGTTCTAGCAAAGAAAGTACAGCATTACTTGCAACAGCAATTGTAATAGTAAGAAGTGAAGACAATTATATGACCACGCTGCGAGCATTAATTGACCAAGGCTCCCAAGCTAGCTTCATAAGTGAACGTGCTGCACAACTACTCAAGGCTAGGAGATATCCAATTAGGGGTGCGGTCATTGGTGTTGGATCAACTAGAGAAGATTTAAAACAAGTCGTTCAAATCAACGTACAGTCGAGATGCGCAGCTTACAACCTAGAAGTCAGAACTTATGTTATGTCAAAACAACTTACAACTAAAATACCTTCGCATATAATCAAAAAGGGCAATTGGCCTCATTTAGATGGGTTAGAACTAGCTGACCCAAACTACTACAAACCAGGTTCTATTGACCTGCTCTTGGGTGTTGACGTATACGCACGTATAGTGGAAAATGAATTAATCAAGGGTCCACCAGGGTCTCCGTGCGCTCATAAAACAAACCTTGGCTGGATTTTATTCGGAAATATAGATGATAGACCACAACAAGCAGAGTCAGTACTGGTTATGCATCATCAGATCATAGCAGAAGATTTCTTAAAGGCAATTTGGGAAATAGATCAAGATTCAAAAAGAAAGCACACCAAAGAAGAAAAACGATGTGAAAAATTCTATGAAGAGAATTATAAAAGAAACAGCGAGGGAAGATACATTGTGGGACTTCCATTTCGTTCCAATGACATTGTTACACCGGACGGAAATACGAGAGAAATTGCAATGAAGCGCTTGATTCAGCAAGAAAAAAGACTATATAAAACACCGGATTTAAAAGAAGAGTACGACAAGGTATTAGAAGAATACTTAGCAATGGGACATATGGAAGAAGTTCCGAAAGATGAAATAAACAATCGTTCTGTTTATTTACCACATCATGCCGTTATTCGAAGAGATAAGGAGACAACTAAAATCAGAGTTGTATTTGACGCTTCGTGCAAAGCTAATAATGGCATATCTTTGAATGATGAGCTCATGACTGGACCGGTACTCCAAGAAGATATGCGAAGCATAATAATGAGATGGCGCATGCATAGGGTATGCTTTGCAAGTGACATAATGAAAATGTACAGAATGATTCTCTTGGAGAAGAAGGATACAGACTACCACAGAATACTCTGGCGTCGTAACACCACAGGCAGAGCTGGTGACCAGCTAGCGGATGTTAAAGATTACAGATTGAAAACTGTCACATTTGGTACAGCATGTGCACCTTACCTAGCTGTCAAAACTTTGATGAAACTCGCAGATGATGAGGGTGAAGAATATTCTGAAGCTGCTAGAATTATTCGTGAAGACTTTTACGTCGATGACTTGACTTCAGGCTGTGACACAACAGAACAAGCAACTCGTATCAGCAAAGAAATCATGACAATTCTTAAACGAGGTGGATTTGAACTTCAGAAATGGGCCTCAAATGATCCTGAGTTTTTAAAATCGATAGAACCAGACCGAATCACCACAAAGGCTAGTCTTAATTTGAAACTAGATGGCACCATTAAAGCCCTTGGCCTAACATGGAATCTTGGAGAAGATAATTTTTGTTACCAACTGCAACTGGAACCTATATCAACCAATATTACAAAAAGACTCATACTGTCAGATTTACAAAGACTCTTTGATCCACTTGGATGGATAGCACCAGTAATTGTTAGAGCAAAGATACTTGTGCAAAGATTGTGGCTAGAAGGAGTTGGTTGGGACGAAGACATAAATAAAGAACTGAAAAGAGAATGGGAAATCATAAAAGAAGATTTAAAAAATGTCAATAAAATAAGAGTTCAACGATGGGTGAACATTTTAAGCAATGAAAAGGATCGAGTAACATTACATGGATTCTGCGATGCTTCTGAGAGGGAATACGCAGCTGTAGTATATTGCCAAGTACTAACGAAAGATGGTGATATAAAAACACACATCATCGCCGCGAGGACGAGAGTCGCTCCTGTTAAGACCATTTCTTTACCGCGTCTTGAACTAAGTGGAGCAACCCTGCTAGCCAAATTATTATACAAAGTAAGCAACGCTATGAGAATTCCATCACAAAATGTATTTGCATGGACTGACTCTACAATTGTATTATCATGGCTTTTTGGGGAACCAAATCGGTGGAAGCCATTTGTTGCAAACCGAGTAGTGGAAATACTGGAGCAAACAAGCGTCTCCCAGTGGTATCATGTGAAGTCGTCAGACAATCCAGCTGATATAGCTTCAAGAGGTGCTTTGACATCAGAGATACAGCAGAAAACGTTATGGTGGAAGGGACCAACTTGGCTCGGCGAAAAACACATTGAGTATACTAGACCTTCAATACCACCTACACAAATGGAAAGGAAAAAGGCCATACAGTCCTATGTTAATGTTACGGATTGTGAAAGAAAAATAATTAAATTTGAAGAATATGATACACTTACGGAGCTGTTAAGAGTAATAGTAATATGTAAAAGATTTCTAAATATGAAAAGGGATCAAAGGATTCCTAACTATGAATTGACTGTAGTAAAAATGCACAATGCTTTAGATATTTGTATAAGACAAGTACAACAAGAAGAATTTTCAGACGAGATAAGAAGATTAAAAGACCACAAGCCTGTGAAGGCCACGAGCATATTGAAGACGCTAAGCCCATACATTGATGAACGAAATATCCTCAGGGTGGGCGGCAGATTAAGAAATGCACACGTCGATGAAGACATAAAACACCCTATAATCATAGGTAAGAGAAACACCTTCGTAACACTGGTTCTTGCTGACGCACACCAGAAAACAATGCATGGTGGAATTAAACTTATGATTGCATACCTCATGAGTAAATACTGGATCATTGGCTGCAAGAGTTTGGTGAAAAGGTACATACAAAGATGTCTTACTTGTGCACGGCAACGAGCTACTTTCAGACAACAAGTGATGGGTGATTTACCTGAGCCTCGTGTGACCCCAACGCGTCCATTCTCTCGAAGTGGAGTAGACTTTGCTGGTCCAGTTTACCTGCTAAATTCTAAAGGAAGAGGTGCTAAAAGCAGGAAGGCTTACATTTGCATATTTATTTGCATGGCTGTAAAGGCGATACATTTAGAGATGGTGAGCGATTTAACATCTGATGCATTTATAGCAGCATTCAAACGTTTTGTTGCCAGAAGAGGAAGATGTAATGAAATCTGGAGCGATAACGGAACGAACTTTGTTGCAGCCAATAAGGAATTAGTTAAAATGTGGAGAGAGGCAGGACTGGAAATGCCTGGACACATAGCAGATCAATTGGCAAGTGATGGCACGCAATGGCATTTTACACCACCATACACACCACACTTTGGAGGACTCTGGGAGGCTGGTGTCAAATCAGTCAAACAGCACTTACGAAAGACACTGAAGTCAAACTTAACATTTGAAGAATTCATGACAGTGCTTACACAAATCGAAGCATGTCTGAACTCTCGGCCTTTAACACCGTTATCCACAGATGTGGACACGATTGATGACATTCAAGTACTCACGCCTGGACATTTCTTAATTGGAGAAGCACCAATCACGGTACCAGACCGCGATTATACAATTGAGAACTACAGTCAGTTATCCAGATGGCAACACACTCAAAGACTGGTTCAAGCGTTTTGGAAACGCTGGCAGACTGAATATTTGTCCCGACTTAATCAGCGACCTAAGTGGTTAAAGAGAACACCTGAGTTTGAAGTTGGTGATATAGTATTGCTAAAAGATGAAAATTTACCGCCTAGCAAGTGGGCTCTGGCACGGATAACTGAAAAACATCCTGGACAAGACAATATAACACGCGTGTATACCGTCCGTTATAATGGTAAATTAACTCGGAGATCCATCTCAAATTTGTGTGCATTACCGATTTCTAATAAAGATTAATATTTTAATTTAATTCAATAACTTTCAATTGTATTCTTTGCATTATATTCAGTAGTTAAGTATCAAATTAGTATTATATTTTTGAAGTTTTTCTTTATTTGTTTGTTCTAAGTTTTATAGCTAATAATAGCTATTTATCAACTTGCATTATTTAAATTGTAATGTTAAATTGTAAGGTTTTAAGGTAAAGTTTGTTTTAAAGTAAAGCAATGAATAATTTCAAGTACAAACATTGTTAGTAGCATTTATTGTTTCAGTTACTAGTTAAGTTCAAATGTTTTATTAATTTGTTTATTTCGAAAAGGTCTTAAGTACCTTTTGGTGGGCGGTATGTTTGACTAAATAATGTATTTTGTTTATTACGCTCACATTCCTTGTATGCATTTAGTGTCCAATAGATCGTTGAACAGAGCATACGTGTTTAGTTTTATTTCACTATACCCAACCAAGTGACGACCTTATTCAAAGCAACAGTCTTTATTGTCAGATTGACAGGCGGGCTGGCAACCGCAGATTTTGATCATTTTGAAATGTTATCAAGAAGGTGCTGTTGCTCATCTCATGTCTCCGATTTCCTCTGTCGCCTCTTACGACACACGGAATTCTACGGGGTAGTGAAATCTCTTATACCGCCACTACATAGCAAATATGTTTATTATTTCATCATCATCATCATTACAACCCTTCACAAGTCCACTGCTGAACATAGGCCTCCCCCAAGTAATGCCACAAAGCACGGTCCTGAGCCACCTGCATCCATCGACTTTCTGCATGTCTTACCAGGTCGTCACTCCATCTAGTGGGGGATCGCTCTACACTACGCCTACCGGTACAAGGCTGCCATTCGAGAACCTTTCTTTCCCATCGGTTCTTCGAGCTATATGGCCGGCCCATTGCCACTTCAGCTTACTAATCCGTTGGGCTATGTCGGTCACTCTGGTTTTACTGCGGATATCCTCATTTCTGAGTCTATCACGCAGAGAAACTCCGAGCTTAGCCCTCTCCATAGCTCGCTGAGCGACCTTCAGCGTCCTCATACGGCCAGTAGTGAAAGACCACGTCTCAGATCCGTAAGTCATCACTGGCAACACGCACTGGTTGGACACTTTAGTTTTCAGAGATTGAGGTATACCTGACGAGAAGATGTGTCGTAATTTCCCGAACGCTGCCCAGCCGAGTTGAATCCGTCGATTGACCTCTCGGTCGAAGTTGGACTTACCTAGTCGGACTATTTGTCCCAGGTAAACGTACTCGTTAACAACTTCGAGCATAGTGCTCCCAACAACTACCGGCATAGGTGAGACATGGACATTAACCATGATCTTTGTTTTGTCCATGTTCATCATAAGACCTATCCGTTGGGAGACACCATTGAGGTCATTGAGCATAGTCCTAAGGTCCTCCAGCGATTCTGCCATAAGGACTATATCGTCGGCAAATCGAAGGTGAGTGATGTACTCGCCATTGATGTTAATACCGTATCCTTTCCAGTCCAGTAGCTTGAAAACGTCTTCCAACGCAGCGGTGAAAAGTTTCGGGGATATAACGTCACCCTGTCTTACACCTCTCTGCAGTTGAATAGGTTTCGAACTCTGGTTCTGTACTCGGCCTAAGCCTTTGATTCCGTCGAAATTTGGGCGGTGCTGCAGTCCCTTCAGCGGTGCCAAGTTGACTGACGGTATATCGAAGTGCTGAAGTGTTTGTACAGTAGGGCTACGATGGCTATCCGAGTACAGAACCAGAGTTTATTATTTATTACTCATTAATATTATTTCTATATAGAATTCGCTGGACGCACGATAATATTTTATTGCGGAATCTAGATGTAAGATATTAAAAAAAAACATTTTTGATGAGTCTATCGTAAAGTCCGTTCTTAGTGAGCGAGTGGTTTTAGGGATCTCGTAAAAGTCAGTCAGTCAGTGGTGTTTCGCTTATATAGGCATATATGTTAGCGTTATTTCCGATAGATATACACACACTGCTGAGCACGGGCCTCCGCTCATTTCTGAGAGGGTTTTAGGGCAAGGAATTGTCCACCGCGCTGCCCCTATGCGTGTTGGTGAACTTTACATGCCTTCGAAATATTTTTTTTTCTTATTTCTCTGACATGCAGGTTTCCTCACGATGTTTTTCTTCACTGCCGAGCACGTGGTAAATCGGCACTTAAAATTGCAATTAACAATTTCATATCAAACAGATCCAATGATGGCTGAATCCAATTCACAATGTTTACATTAAATCATCAAATTATTTTTCGTTTTCAGGAATTAATTAGAAGTATAGACATTATGACTGAAGTACCACCGCATATCGAACTTTTATTGGAGCCAGATTGCCGTATAAGTGGTAACTGTATCGTCAAGCATAACGAATCTATAAATATAAATACAACGCTAAAAGTAAAATCGTGCCCCAAGAGTAAAACTCCAAGCGTAGTGAAATTAGGTCCTGTGGCGTTAAATGAGAAGTTATTGATTTCAGTAATCAGTGATTGTGAATGTGACTGTGAAAGAAATATTTTGAAAACTGCTTTAAATTCAACTAAATGTAGCGGAAATGGAACATACCAGTGTGGCATTTGTAAATGTAATGAAAACAGGTAAAGAAAACGATTTATAATTGTTCAAATATTATATATATATATATATATATATATATATATATATATATATATATATATATATATATATATGTATTTTTTCAATATCTAGATCGGACAGCAACCTCCGTCAACTCACCGCAAAGTAGGGGCGTAAGAAAATCCACTACATTATTTTCATCTCGTGGTGTTGACGCAATGACAAAGGGATATAAAGTAGGAGATGGACAGTAGCATCTTCCTGATAACAATTCAAAATTATAAAAGACTGCGGTTGTCCACCTTCCTGCTAAGCGTGGCAATGATGACTACATCGATATGTCAAAAGTAACGGAAGTTTTACGCTCAGCAGTGGACTATCCCTCGCGATGGTTAGTTGTTATGTATTATGTAATGGGCAAGTCTGAGTGCCTCGTTGTTCTCGTGCCGGGTTCGCATCCCGGGTCAGACCTAAAATCGGATATTGGGTTTTTGTGTCGAGAAATTCTCAGTACCAGCCCGGAGTCAGAAAGTTGGCGGTGTTTTATCCCCGTGCCTCAGAAAGCACCTAGAGATGTTAGTCATGCGCCAGATCCCTCTCTAGTTAGATCAGATTGCCGTCTTATCGAACTGTGAAAGTGAGAGATTAGAGAATGCAATCTGTGCTTGCACACACACACGTGCACTCTATTGCTGTCCAACGCAGATGGCTAATCCTCGATAAAACTCACCGCCGCGCCGTGTCCGAAATTTGATATGGAGGACGTTATTATCAATGTGTAAGTCATATAAAATATTACAATTTTCTTTAAAACCTTGCTATTTGAACAGGTACACTAACATTCTAAATTAATAAAAAGTTATTATTTATTTTATATAGCTCCAAATTTAAAGTTTTTAAAAGTTGGAAAAGGAAATGGTATCTATTTTTGATACTAGACGGAGTTTACACAGATGCGCTCCCCAGCAGGAGCCTTATCAACTAGTTGAACCAGTTTTTAAAAAGAATTCAAAACATGTCAATGTTTTAGATATGGTGATGATTGTCGGTGTGAAGGCTCTTCTACGATTAGTGTAGATTTAGATAAATGTAAAATAAATAGTAATGATACAAACTACTGTAGCGGCAGAGGAACGTGCAGGTAAATAAAATAAAATATTTAAATATGATATACTTGATGTAACATCACAATTAAAAAATAATAGGATATAAGTAAACATTTGTACTGTGAAGTTAATGACGAAATTCTAGATAAGAATTATATGCCCAAGTTTTGATAATTCACTAAATAAGTATCTAAAGTTCGAAAGCATGTTATATTGTAAATACCTATTGTTTCATCGAATATACAACTTAATTATCTTGCAAAAAAAAACCATGCCACCACAAAATGTGCGTAAATATATTTGCAATAATTTTGCCTAAATAGATTAAGAACTTTAAAGTAATTTCAGTTGCGGCAAATGTGTACTATGCTACAAAGGATTTTCGGGGGATTACTGTCAATATGATGATACCGCTTGCCCAAGTCCTGGCGGAAAGCTGTGTGCCGATAGAGGAATATGTCGGTACGGGAAATGTGAGTGTGACTCAAAGAGTACCGGCGTCGGCTGTGATTGCCCTATTGATAATCATAGTTGTTTTGCTCCGCACTCGAAAGAAGTATGTTGTGTTTTCTATATATTCTGCTCTGTAATAATTTCTATAAGATTTTTCTGATAGAAACTATCGTATTTATTGAATTTTATAGTAGATGAATTAAATTTATGGTATAGTTCACCAAATAAAATCTATATACATATCTGGGGGCACGGTGGTGCCCCCGCCAAGTCGAGCAAAAAAGCGGCACGGCCGTACCATCCTTTTCTCCATGAAGTTCAGGCCATTTTTGACCTGAAACCACTTCGTTGTGGATAAAACTAGAAGCCTGCCAAGCCTTGTCAAGTGAATCTATTTATTTAAAACATAAAATTTTTTTAATATTGACATGGTCACTATAAGATGTTGTTAGGTTAGCTAATTACTGAATAATTTAACCGACCTTTATATTACATGGATCTCACAACTTTTTACGGCAGAAGAACTCAGCGAGGCTTGTTTTTTTACAATTTACCTATGTTTTTAATGGCATACATTATACTAATTTGTATTTTAATGTCAGTATAACTGACGACGTATTTTAATTTTTAACTAATTTTATCTGTAATATCAAATAATTAAATACCTTTATCAGAAAGTCTTAGAATCTAAGTTCTCTACAAACTTAGGTTTTAAGACTTTCTGGCTTAGAGCCGTACCGCCCACCTCTGACATACTTACGTTGATAAGGCAGGCAGTTCTATAGAAAAATATTATAAGTGTAATATAAAAAGCCCTTGACGGCATGGCTGCTATTGTTATAATTATAATCTATACAAACAAACAAAGACATTTAAGTAGTAGTAGTATTTAAATCTCTTTGCAAATAAATAAAATTGAAGTGTGTTTGTAATTTCGAAATAACAACTTTTTTACTAAATGCATAAGGAAGTTTATACTGTGCTTATAACAAAAAATAATTTTTAAATTTCTTGTCTGTATCTCTGTCTGTTTGTACCGGCTAAACTCCGACACGTCTGGACCGATTTTGACGGAACTTTTACTGGCGCTATCTGCTGTCATAGAGTGACTTAAAAATTAATAAATTCCCATAAAATTCATTCGTAGTAAATTTCACGTGGACATAGTCGCGGGGAACAGCCAGTAATAAATAGATTGAGGCGTTACTTTGCGGTAATTCATTGAAGATATCTTATTAATTTTAACATCTTCAACAATAAATATGTTGTTTTCAGATTTGCTCGGGAAATGGTAAATGCGAATGTGGTGAATGCGTCTGTCTACCAATGGAGTCGTCAAATCGGACGTGTTCTGGACGCTTTTGCGACAGCTGCGACGAATTTGCTAAGAAGCGATGTTTAGAGCTCGAAATTTACGCAGAGTGCAATTATTTATACAACAAAATATATTGCGATGAATTATATAATCAGACTTCTTTGACTGAAGTAAAAATGGTTACTAAGTTGGATAATACACTCCCTGATCACCAAATGGCAAAATGGTGCAAGAAGCAGTTTGGGAATGGCACCGCACTTGTTTTTAAATATCTGTACCCACTTTCATCGCCCAATATATTACATGTAATAATTCAAAAAGAATTGGAGCAACCGCCCGAAGTGAATTTATTCAGTATGTACATATACATATATAGCATGATTTTTTTTACTTTTTTTACAGCTAATACGTCCCATGGCTAGGCAATGGCCTCTCATTTCATAGAGGGTTATGGAGCAATCAGTTCGCCAGCGGAATACACATCATGTCTTTGAATTATTGTATTCCTCATTCAGGTTTTTTGTTATTCAAAGCCGAGCACATATTAAATCAGTTCATCAAATTACAACAATCAATTTTATTTGTGCTGGTGCTAAATTAAACTAGGATTTTTTTTTATAACTGCATCTAATTATTAATCTCTAATAATTTCGCAAAATATGCTAACTTCATATTTTTCTAAAATATTTTGTCTATCTACTCTAATACAAATTATAGAGTAAATTGATTTTAAAAATAATACAACTGTTAATCTTCATGCTAAGTTTACGAAATTAAAAATAATGTTAATTTTATATGTAGGCTAGGTACTTCTAAATTGTACAAGGTACAATATTCTCTTTGGAAAAAAGTACAAACTCAAAATTCAAAAATCCTTTGAATTGTGGTTTAACTTTTTAATCTTCAGCTTCGTTTTCATTTCTATGCACATAAAAACTTATTACAGTAAAAACTAATTACCATATAATATACTTAGTAATTATAAAAACCTAATTTTTGTAAAATAACATAATTATTAATATTTTTGATGTATTTTAGAAAATTAGCGATTTTTGTTTATAACATTTTAGGAAATTAATACAAACCAATTTTGGTAGGGTAATCAGACGAGAACTGGCGCATACATTAAGTATATGTGTGCATAGTGTGCGTAATAAATAATGTAATAAGAACTGGCTTACCTTTGAAAGGTAATCCCTTGTCACTTTTTTGTAATGTGGTATTATTTGTACACCATTTAACGACACACGACGGCATTATTCTATATTCCTTCGTTCATTTCTTATGTAGGTGATGCGGAGTCGTTACTTTTTTTACTCGTCCGTGATATTCGTCTGCAATTTGCTTTTTAGGTATACCCTAATTCCAAGAGTTGATGAGACATCTGCGTAAATAATACCTCAAAATATAGGAGGAAATAAGCATAGGTTTTAAAAAGGTTTAAACAACAAAGGCTATTTTTTTATAATGTCATAAACAACATTTTCCTATTTTTTTGTTTCTTACACTTAAATATGCGTAGAATGTTTTTAGGATGATGAATATGTTTGGAAATTTTTTTGTCTGAGTAATTACGCATTACATACTTATATAAAAAATGAAAAAAAAAGCATAACTGTTGCAACATATTTTTAAAAATATTGAAACTAGACTTTTTAAAATATTGAACTAGCCGGACACTATTAGCAATTAAAAAAAGGGGCAGACTTCGTCTTAGACAAGTTTAGCTTAATGTTTGTAATAGTTTAAGGTATCATCCCCTTCAGGCCTTGCACCTATCTTCCAAACATGCTGTATACAGTTAAATATAATATGCCTGCTGTTCTATATTTTTAACTCACCATCACCAATACAGCTGCCCACAACTAACACATTATTCAACACAGGCACAGGTAAAACTAAGCAAGTTCAATAATGTTCTAGCAGATCATCATCATCATCCTCATCTTTATACATATCACAAGTCCACTGCTCCAGAAAGGCCTTCCTATAGATTACAACAAAACAAGGTCACATCCGCCTAAAATACCATGGATTGATAACCATAAGCTATCGCGACAGGATGCAGTAGTGATAATGAGGCTGCGTACTGGACACATTCCATCTAGAAAGTTTGCATTCCTTTTGAAAAAGGTTCAGTCACCGAACTGTGATCAATGCGGTGTTCCAGACGACCTAATGCATGTCTTGATGGATTGTGCCCACAACGCTGCCTTTCGTAATGAGAAATGCCACCACATTTTAAAAGATTTCGCTGATGTATAGCAAGCCACTCTGACGATATAAAAATATTAGTCAAGCTTTACAAGGTGAAGTTCTCGGATCGATCACTCACTTCTCAATGTGATTGATCTGGGAACTTTTCATTTTTTTTTTAACTAATTGCTACTAATACTTTTTGTAACTAATTGCATATCTTCTTCAACTTTCTGTAATTAATTATTGATTTGAGAACTTTATAATGTAATAAGTTTAATTATACCTTATGTAGTTTTTTTTTTTGGTGATGAATTAACGGAGCGACATATTCATATTGTGAATAAGCTCATTAATAAAGAATTAAAAAAAAAACAAAACAAGGTCATAGTGCTGCACTTAGCATTACTTGGCTGCCACTCGAGAACTTATCTTCCCCATATATTATGGTATCGGAACCGTGTAGTGGTCGGGTAAGAATATCCACAACCCTATATCATCCCGTGAGTGTTGTAAGAGACGACATGGGGAAAAAATTGGAGTGGAGCAAAACAAAGGGAGATGAGCAACACCGTCTTCCTAGTAATGACAAAAAATAAAAACTGCGGTTGTCCAGTGAGGCAATCTAGTGGAAGGCCTATGTTCAGCAGTGGGACAGTTTAGAGACATTACAGCAATTGTGAAACACCTTTAATGACGGACGATGTCGCCGTCCGCGTAAGTAATTTACGCGGCCAGCGTGTATGCTAGGGGTTGTTATTGTTCAATAAATGTTTTTAACATATAAATATGTACATAATGTTAGCAAAATGATGAGTATTATGATATCCAAAATTATTTTATTTCCATACAAGAGTGAGTGAGTGACGAACGCGTCGCATTATATGATTTCATCAGCCCGTCTCCTTCAATATTCGGTTACTTAACGCATTTTATAAAATACGGTGCGGCTACAATGTGCGAGGTTTCATATGATTTCATACAGCGATTTCTAAAATGCGACGCGTTCGGCTTGTGCGGCGCGTACGGTGCTGACAAATGTGCGTTCAGCTTAAAATTTGTTAATTGCCTGAGTACACACGCTCCGCCAACCGCATGTATTATATAGCAGACTCATTGAAATGCACTAGCACAAGGTAAGGATAGTCGTAGCACGAATGGGTCGGCTCGACCGGAGAAGGACCACGCTCTCACAAAATACCAGCGTCAAATAGCAGCTTAATGCTGCTGTGTTTCGTATGGTGAGTGTAGAGAGCCAGAGACCCTTTTTACTGGAAACGAGGCATTCAATCTTGGTCCTCACGGGTGACAACGCATCTGCATTTTTATTCGTAATCGAGGATAGATGTAGATGTCTATGGGCCACAGCAACCACTTACCATCAGGTGAACTCTGTGCTCGTTTGTCACCCTATCCTATAAAAAAAAGTTCGGCCCGCCTCTTGCCCCGTAGAGCTCCTACCGTTGCTCTGCACAAGTACATTCGTTTCCCAACTGTAAGGTCTAAACAGTGGCAGTGGACTGTACTCGTAGCGGTAGATTGTAGGTTCTTGGTGCTATGAAGTAATTATCACAGGCTTTTTTTTTCAGTTGCTATCGGTGTTCCTTTCGGTGTGCTGATACTAATCGGTCTGCTGACAATAATGATTTGGAAGATATTAGTGGACATACACGACGCAAGAGAGTATAAAAGTTTTGCTGAGAAATCTGCCGCAGCTGGTTTCACGGTTCCCGGAATAGTTAACCCAGTTTACCGCGCGCCTACCGTTAATATTAATAATCCGACCTTCAACCGGCAATCACAATAAATTTATTGTCAATTCAGTTTCCATTTCTTATAATAAAAAAGAAATATATTTTTGTCTTTCGCAAGATTTTTTGGTTTGTATCGTTTAAAGCACGTCGTAAAGATACATCAATGGATATTTGTATACTTGAATCTATTACACCAGCATTTTGTATAAATTGAATTTTAAGTAGCGACAAATATCATTCGACTATTCTATAACCTTATTATTTCTTCTAAGAAAGACTACACTTCTTAGAAAACCCTTTATGAGGGTGTAGTGACTGTTTTACCTAAAGTTAGTTGCTGCGGCTTGACATACGTCAAGTTGGCAGGATCCAAAGATTGAGTGCCTACTTGAGGACCTCTCCTTATTTAAAAGTAAACTATAGGGATAGCCTAAATACCTTCCGCTTTTTTGCACAGGTGTTCTCTCATTACCTATTGAAAGGGTTTTAGGGCAAGGAAGTGTCGAACGCTCTGCCTGCCCCCCAATACGTGTTGATGGAGACTTCATCGTCTTCAATTATTTTTTTATTTCTCACTTATACAGATTTTCTCGTGATGCTTTCCTTCACCACCGGGCATTTGAAAGTACTTTATTACTCTCAACTGAAATGGAAAAGTTACATTATTATGGAACTTTTCCCATGTATGTCATGTACCATTTTGAGAAAGGTATTTTAAAATCCGTGGATTCATTTTGTTTAAACATCCGTTAATACACATACAACGGTGCTAATTTCCCATTACTAGATTATCAATATTAGGGCGTACGCTACATTAAGCGGGTACCCGCGCCATGACCATGATCCCATCGTTGGCAACGGATTCTGCTGCGTGCGTTCGTCGCATTTTCCCCGGGTAACACTACGGAAGGTAGCACTACTGAACCGTGCCCGTTGTAGCGCCGTCTTAATTAATTATTGACAAGCTTATTTAGTAATAACTTTTAATTTTTAATCTATATATAAGACAATAATAATGCCAACACTTAGTGACAACAACTTTCCTTTCATTGCGAACACGAACATCGATATGGAACACGTAATAATCGGCCTGTATTATGAGATATATTATTTTGCAAATGAATTCACAGATATCTTCATTTTTAAAATACTTTCTGAGATCTGACTGAAAGACTGTGTGAACTGAGGGACCACACTTAAAGTGCAGTGACTTTTTATATATTATTTCACAAATGCCAGGATCCGTTCTACGATTGTTTTAGGCATACTACCTCAGTGCTCATATACATTTTAATTTATTTGTATGAAAGACCTCGAGCGGGATCATGCTCCAAGTAATCATCTCGCTGAGCCGTCGCACTCGCTGGGTGTAGTGGACAGCTGGCACGACGTAGTCACAGAACACTTTTACTCGTAGCGGAGCTCTTGAATTTTGCAGAAACAGACACACGGGGTTGCTTGTACCCTCCAGCGGGTCCCGCTTAACGCATCGTATTATTATCAGTTCAGCTTACTGATCCGTTAGACTGTGTCCCTTACATTAATTATTATAGGTAAGTAAGTATACGACGTGGTATTGTAATTGTAACAATTTCAAACAACTGTCGTGATTAATGAGTATATTTTAACAAAATACAATTTTAATTTACAACTCATCTATGTGCGTTGAGTAGTAAATGCCATAAATACAAATAAATACTTTATATAAATAAATATATAAAACACACACAAAAAATCACAAAATAATTTTAAATCATATTATGTTACATTCAAAAAATCATTATTGTTTGAATAAAATGACTGACGTAATTATCGTTTTCTTTTCTATACTTCACTAGTGTGATATAATATTCTTCTCTTATGAAGTTATTGGGTACTGAACATATATTACTAAAGTTATTATGTTGATCTGTTAAATAAATGACAAGAATTTATTCGTTTTATGACCTTATAATATTATAATGATAAGTTTTATTTTTTATGGATTCGGCTATGAGGCCGCTCGATTGAACGCCGCAAGCGTGTTGGTCGCTCGTCGCAATATGATTTCTTCTCCCGACGTTCCCCAGCGTCTACTGTTGCCTGAACTGCCTGCTGTACAATTTTTTCCAATTTACTTGTGTTATGATTAAGTACAAGTTGATGAAAGTTAACGAACGATGAATTAGATTTGCCATAAATAAAAACAAAACGATTAGGGCCGATCCTCATTATAATGCCATTATTCGTTCTCGGTCTGATAAAATATTACCAAGTAAAAAATATGTATACATATATAATGCACACGCATTCATACCATCCGATAATAGTCAAGTTTCGGTCGAATCCCATTCTATTATAATAAATCAGACCGAGATCGGACCGAGAACGAACTGTGAACGGCAAATGAGGATCGGCCCTACAGTCGCAAATGATCACTAGCTAAAATATAGATGATTCGCAGCCATGCCTGCACTTTCGTCTGATCGCTGATCTAGACAGATATAATGCACGGGTTACCTTGTCTTTGGTTAATCTCTGACCCTCTGGTGACATCTGTATTGTCCTATTCAAGAAAATTTGCCTTAAACAGAACAGCTATAAAGGCCTCCAAATCATTATATAAGTTCGGTTTTTGAATGTTTTGCTTCCAAACTTATGTAATTTTTATTATCAAATATCGCAATTATTTCATAATATAATTATAGTATTGCTACACATCTATAACTTGGTCCAGGTATTGAAATAAGGTTGAAATGTAGCTCTTTCCTCTATTCTCTATCCTATTTAATAGGTAAAAAAATTATATTTTAAATTCCGCATATACTGTGAGAGTAATTAAGGATTCTAAAATCCTGAAGAGTATGAAAATAGTGAATGAATATAAAAATGATACAGTCTAAATATAGCACAGACCTCCTCTGATTTGCGAGGATTATGGAGTGATTAGTCCGCCGTGTTGCTGCAGAATGCGTTTGCGGACTACATGTGTCCTCGAAATATTTTATTTCTCAGATATAATGGTATCCTTAAGACGTTTTTTTCTTTCACCGTACAGCAAATGGTGAATCAGCTTAAAATTGCAATTAACAACTCTATTCATGACGGAGATCAAAGGGATCGAATCCAAGTTGCTCTCGTACTGTGAAATTTTGCGGCGAGCGCTTAGCCACTGAGCCTCCTTGTTTGACAAGTGAATGCGCAGGGAACCACCAGGTAAGCAGAGAAATTTATAGAGATAATAATATATGAAGATAGGCATCTTTCCACAGTTGCGTTCTCAAACTGTATTTGGACTAATCCTGAGATCTAATCCTAAAATCACTTCTCAAGTAACACAAGGAGCACTTTAACAAACGAATAGTAAATATAATATGCAGAACTCAAGGTCCATATAAACTCTTATATAAGTTCATTGAGCATCTTGATGCTTTATATTGGCATTTCAAAACCATTCTGATGCTTTACACTGTATAACGGTTAGATAATGGCATATCAAAATACTTTTGTAAAGACTTAAGTTTTAGTGCAGCAAAGCTTTCAGTTGTTATTAGTGAATTTGGATCTACAATAGCATTTTTAAGTAGTATATAAATGTTTCATGCTTACGTAAGAGCACTTTTAGTGGTAAGTGAAAGCCTAGTACTGTTGAAAATAATAAATAAAAATCAATGTAATTCTTGCGTTTTTAAAGATCAACTAAGTTCAGTTGTACAGTTAACAACTCTTTAATCAAATACACGTGAGTTATTGTAATACGTAAATCTGTATATACTTACATTTTACTGTATTTATAAAACCATTTGTTGGCCATATTGTGAGGAAAAGCAACATATGCGCATGTTTTGTTGATCATATATGTAATTTTTTAGCGTAGCATTCACGTAATGGCACTATTTCAGTCTACATCAAGTCGACTAGTATACCGGTGAACCCATGTAGAACTATTTTATAGACAATGGCACTACAGTGGTTTATCAAAAGCCTTCTCTATGTCCTCTGGCTTAATAACAGTTCACGGGTGAGTATATATACTGCTGGCGGCATTAATTATCATTTTTGAAGTCTCACCGGGCTGCTATAGACCGGCACCATTTTGTAAATATTTTATTACCAAAAATGAGATATTTACAGCAAACTACACTGTGCAGTAATATTTAAAGGCATGTTTTGACTGCCTTCCTTCGTTCATATATTATATTGCAAGATAAACTAAGTAATTAAACTACAACCTTGATTGTATTATAATATTTAGTACCGCGTAATAGAGATGTTTTTGCAATGACGTAGGGTTTATTTAAGTTCTAACTGTGAACACTTAAATAGCTCCAATCATTCTTTTACTACACTCTAATGCTTTTGTAATGCAATTAACATCATCATTATCAATAATATTGCTAGTATAATGCTTCTGTAATGTGATTGGCAACTTCATTGACCGTAATAATGCTTCTTTAATGCAATTATTTTCTTTGAATACTATAAAGCTAATATAATGCGCCTGTATTGCAATTAAACAACTATTGTGAACATATTTTGGGATATAAAGAGGTATAGTTTGTGCCAAAATAAGCATTAGAGTAGCCGTACAAACATTTGTATTGCTACTATAGATTTAACTCAAAATGCGAAAACGATACAGAAATGCTGTGCGTCGGCCGTTATACTGCTTTGATGTGTTACTTGGGTGTGCATAGTATTGTATTGTATTGTATTTTCTCTACTTAAAGCTACGAATCAGTTTATGCGCATTTCGAATAAACAATAATTCATAGTGCAATTACAACATGCTTTAAAATGAACAATATATAAACCATACAAACCCTATTGCTTTCTTTAGTAACTCGACGGCAACGCAGCTCGCTACAGGACAATCGTGGTATGAGATCGCCTGCGGAAAGCCTCTCTTCAAATTCAAAATTGTATACAGCTTCCATGCAGTTATGCCTAAAATACGGTTTACGAGTATATAACTTATTATTATTATTATTATAACTATTATTATTATTAGCTACATTAAAGTTATATAAATTTGTGTAGCCCGGCATCTAGGTGGTTATCCCAAATTTTGTAATGCGTGAGGACAACTAATTGAAATGTGCTGTTAAAGAGGCATGCATGTTATGTTTTATCCTGAAATCGATAATTCGTTATTATTATAATTTATATTATAATGTCCCTAATTTAAAATATTAACATCGCGTATTTCATTGTGTGTTCAGCGTATTTTGACATGCATATTTGTATTGACTACTATCTGTAATTTTTACCCAACTATATTCACAGTCTGTGCCTGGCTTCACCAAATTAGACAACAACCTTATAGAACTTCATATAACTTCAGTGTTACAAAATTATTTAAGTGTCGTAGATATTTGTTTTCCTCATTTACAGCGGACAACGCTATAAATCCCCCCGCGGCTTCGTCCGTGTGGAATTTATTACGATTGAATTTTATTGGGTTTTAATTTTTTTTCGGAATTCTTATTTTTTTTTTCTCAAATAAAAATAGCCTCCCTCACTCCTTATAACGTTAGCTATTTGCTAGTGAAAATCCCGTCAGTATTGGTCCAGCCATTTCGGAGATTAGCCGGAACAAAGAGACAAATATTTTAAAAATTTTTTTTTTTTGTTTACACCGTTTACACTTAGTAAAAATCTGTTATTTTGACAATTCAAACAGACACTTCGATTTTATTTATTTATATAAGATAATTAATTAAAGGATCGCTTACGATACATCCTTTTCGGCGATATTGTGTTGAAGAATAACACGAGTTGATGGCTGGGGATTACTGGCTCGACTACTGGCTGCGCCTGCCAGCGTGTCGCGACAAACAGCATCACGGACTTCTTGTAAACGCCGTCTTTCTTCCGCCACTCTACGATCTAACTCCATGACTGAAGCAATTCAGTCCAAAAATTAAAAACCACACATAATATGTGCAAATACTTATACGCTACTCAATTTTAAGATGTCTTTAAATCTCGTGATGTCACAGTCACTTTGACTTAAAGCGATAGAGACGGCACAAGACTCATCGGCATCCTAAATTTAGCAACTTTTGTGTATTTGGGTATTAGAGTAATGATGATGATAACAGCTATACAGAATGTCCCGAAGGATCCCATTTTTTTAAATTAGAGTTGAAATATAAAAATACATTGGTAATAGGCACATAGTCCTTTAAGAATATTACGGTTAAAAGCTGAAGTGCGGATAAAACTAGGTCTACTGGCTGCATCTAGGTGCAGCCAATTTTGGTTGGTGTCTTGAATAATTTATAAAATATATAAATGTCTGCGTCCCTTGGGCTCCCCGGCCGCACATTAACCTACTGACGTTGGTATTACTAAATTAACAAATTTGACAGTATACATGATTGTGGTTGGGGATATAGGTACACCTAAGTATAACAAACTGCAATCGACTATAACTAGTTGTAGCCGGCTAAGCCTAAGGGTCAGCTCACACCGAGACGTGACGCGCCGCGACGCGCCCATTTTATAATAGTAATATAAAATATAAATTTATTTACTTCACAAAAAGACACACATTTTGTGGAGATAATTCTAAAAAGCCCCACGGCGTCGCGCTATGCTGCGCTGCGCCTCGAGAAGCCTCGCGGCGTAGCGCAGCGCGTAACGACGTATCGATACTTCGCCGGTAGGCTGCAAGTGCGACGCGCTGACAGCGGCTGTACGATGCACCTCGCGACATCGCGACTCGCGATGCGTTTCGCGGCGGCGCGTTACGCCGTGTGAAACCAACGCACAAATACGCGTAGCGTCGCGTCTCGGTGTGAACTAACCCTAAGTGTACCTGCACTTCGGTTTTTAGCTGTAATATATATACATACTTTACGTAATAATATGCCTGATACTCATGTAGATTACTGTACTAGTCTTATTCTATATAAGAAAATTAAACGTAAATCACATCAAGGTCAACTAAGGTCGTAACACCATCATAATATTATAATATATGACCCGCGCGCCTATTAATCGACATGTGCATAAATATGATTTCTGATACTTACTATGTTTTTGTGCTAGTCGTTGTTTTTTCATAAGTTCGGTTTCTAAGGAGTCTATCCTTTTATGAACTACTTCTTCTTTACGTAGTGTCGTCTTCCATGTTCTGCATACTTTATAATGCAAAAAAGAAAGCTCTTGAGCATCTAACGCCTGCATAAGAAGTAAAGGTTATAGGATTAAGATAAAATAATTAGCCGAACTAAACCCAATATTAGTCAAGTCATCAATAAATAAAGACCCCCAAAATTCCATACACTTTTTGTCATATTTGATAAATACGTAGGTCACTCAATAAGTTTTGAGGTGCTCGAAATTTAAAAATGGAACGCACCCGTGTTATATGTTTCTAAAAAGCAAATTTATTTAAAAATAGAACTCCGTAAGCCGATTGCTCAATATTAAAAAGAAAAACAAACTTCTGTTAATTTTCCTGGAACGCTTTCCGCGCTTTTCATTTAAAAAGATGGATCGTAAACGTGAACATTTGCGCGCTCTGATATATTATGATTTTAAATTTGGTGTAACCAAACAATTAAATCTACAACAATCAGAATTAGGGGACTCAGCGCCATCACGCGCAAAAATTTTTAGGTGGTTTGCTAAATTCAAAAGTGGTAAAATTAACCTTAAAGATGACCAAAGAACCGGGACCCCGCAAACAGCAGTAACAGCAGAAAATGTATGGACTACTGAAATGTTGGTGCGAGAAGACACACGAATCACATATACGGACATCGAAAAGATTGTAGGCATTAGTTCGGGGAGCATTCATACCATCAACGTCTTAGGAAGTAAAAACATCTTAGAAGACACTAGATGGTGCAGACCACAGTGCCAGGCACCAGATGTCCCCAAACCTAACTTAAAAAGGCGCGCGAACACAACAACAGTATACTACAGTTGCATTACTCAAAGCTTTTCAAGCTGTGCGGGAGAGAAGACCAAAAGCCTCTTCACATACCTCCCTTAGAACAAAAGCATTTATTGAGGAATCTGGTGTTGAAACTCTAAGTCACCCACACTATAGACCTGATTTAGCTTCATGTGATTCCTTTTTGTTCCCAAGAGTCAAAGAAAAAATAAAAGGAAAGTTTTTTCAAGCACCGAAGAACCCGGCTGCCTACGAAGAAGCGATTTCCGACCTGTCAGATCAAGACTGGCAAAAGTGTTTTCAGAGTTGGTTTAGGCGAGTGGAACATAGTATAGAGCATGAGAGAGAATATTTTGAAAAGATGTAAAATAAATATTAATAGTATCTAGAATACTTTTTGTACATCTCAAAACTTATTGAGTTCTACGTAGTTCGTAAGCTAGATGAAAAATATTAACCTTAATTATCCGGAAAATGCTTTTTTAAATTACTAAATCAAAAATAATCGCTAGGAGTCATATCTCTGGCTAATAGGTACCGTGTAAAATTCCGGAAAAGATCTCGGTATTGCCTTTCTGCCAAGTAACATGACGTCATTTTTTCAAGGTCTTTTTGCTTATTTTTTAAACCTATCACAATAGAATTTTCACCTGTATCGTAAAGGCAGCTTACAAGCATAAATAATTGCATAAGATCACATATTCAGACCAAACAAATACTTGTTCCTAAGCCACTGTGTCGTGGAGGCGTCATATAACATCCTTTATTCAAAAGAATGCCTTTTATTAATTGCCTTTTATAAATTGAATTGCACCTCGAATTAATTTTAATGTTGTAGAAAATTGTTCAAATTTCGAAAAACAAAACATAGAAATTGGTTAGGGCTAGGTCTGGAGCGTATGGAGTTAGTGAAGTTATCGTTTCTAACTACAGGTCTGGTAATGTTGAAACGGTTTGTTGAGCAGTGGGATTTTGCGTTATCGTTTATCATGGAGCAATAATGACAAAGATTCATTGACGAGTCGGGGTTGTTTCTCTGAGAGTTTCATTATCATTGTTGGAAGTTCTTCACAATATAACTAATAGTGAATTAAATAGTTACTATTATTTTCTATGGGTGGGCTTTGGAACTAAGTCTTCTACAATGAAAATTGAGTAAATACGTCACGATATGTATTTTAAGTACATAAAATATTAATACAGAAAAGACGTAAATTAATTCTTACCTCAACGTTTTCCGTCAGTATTTTATTTGCTACATATTTTAAGTATGCCTGCTCAGCCGTTCTTCGTTGGTCCACATCTACTTGCTCAAATATTTTGCGGATGGTGTCAGAAACGTTGATACCGACAGAACACGTGCACAGACCATGTGTTCTTACTTTTGGCTTAACACTAAATTCCTCTATTGATGTTTTGCTAAGTGTTTTAATGTCAAATGGAGACTTATGTTTCATTACGCTTTTCTTTATTTCAGGAGACGACTTTTTTAGTTGTTCCTAGCAAAGAGACATACTTATTACAATTTTATATTGCATGCATTAATACAAACTATATGATTATTATAAATATATTTATTTATTTATTAACACGTTACATCCCTTAACTGAATGTAGAAGGAATTGCTACACCTCCGTTTAATAGGTAGAAAACAATCACAATACTAAAAATATTGCTCTTTTAATGCAGTTGTTCCTTTTCAGTCTGGGATTTTTACATGTAATATTAAAGTAATATAGTAATATTAAATAGTAATATTTAGGTTAATATACAGGGGCACTAGGAACTCAACAACTTCCTGGCAGGGCGTGATAGGGGAGTTAAAATGCTACAAATTTGGATTTTAAAGATTTTTCAATAATCACCCAGAATTCCGTATTTAATTCTAAATAAAATTAAAACATTTTTTTGTATGTTTTTTAAGTTTATTTATATTATTGAAACTTCAACCAAGCGAATGGAATCATAAAAAGTACAAAAAGTATTAACAATAAAAAATTATGGGTCTTAATAAATTATTTTTTTCCCTTTTTACAATTTCTGTAACATTAAACATTACGTACTTAAAAATACTATGACATGATATAAAAATATTTAAAAAAATATGTCCACTTAATCAGCTATCCAAAACGGTAATAATATTCCGGTGAAGTCAATGAATAATAATAATGAAAAGGTCTTTTAATTAACGCAGATAGAGAACGGCAAAGAATGATTGCTCTTAGTCGTGTGCCATGCTAGCGCGACGAGTCTTGCGTCTGCGATGAGCAGGAAAAATAACAATACTAGACGACCGAGAGGTGCCACGTTAGCGTGTCTGGCGTGCGTGTCAAGCGACCGCGACCTACGGAGGACATAGTACGTGTTCGCGCGTCCAGCGTGTAAATCAAATAGTGTTGATTTTTCCGTGATGCAAACATAAACACGGATACGTTTGTTAGCGAAATAATTTCTAGGTCCGCAATATGGTCTAGTAAGCATGAAAATCATAAGCATAATATAATATTTCTCAAAAATTTTGTGGGTATTGACGTATTTTATTACCAAACTGATGCCTGTTTTAGTTTAAATCACGAACTCCTATTTTAATTTTCATTATATCTTATGTACGCAAAAACTACTCCATTCTAGACACGAAAGTCCCAATTTAAAAATCCAATTTTTTTTGCCCGCGCAAATATAGCGCGAAGAAACCATTTGTCAGACAGCCGCCTCAACAAGGCATACTACAGCGGCAAGGCGCAGCGTCTTCATGCCTCCCGCCGCCGCTGGTCGCCTCCGCTTCCCGCAGTCGCTCTAGCGTGGACAACGGTCTTGGAACGAACTTACACACTTTTAGTTACTTAATTTCTGATTGGTTATTGACAACTATTCTGAAAGTAGACGGCCATTTTTGAATTGAGTCGTAGCAACGCTCGTTAGTTTTGACTGTCGCTGCGCAAGCACTTGTTAAAACTTCCTTCTAATAAACTCTCATCGCGTTTCATTCATTTGTTATTGTTTTCAGTCGTTATTGTTATAGTTTTTGTGCGTCGAAGTTAAAATGGCATATTATAATAAAGAATATGCCAACATCATGTGTTATCTATGGTTTTGATGACGGCAACGCTGCTGGGGCTCGTAGAGAATATCAACGTCGCTTTCCTGATTGTCGGCTTCCCCACGTTTCTGTCTTCGGAGCTACCTATCGACGATTAAGTGAAAGCGGCACTATTCACAGAAATCAAGTGGATACTGGCAGACCAAGAAGTTTTACGGGTGACGATAAAGAAACAATTATGCAACATTTTATTGATGATCCAAACGTTTCAACGAACATTGTAGCACGCCAGTTCGATATATCCCAGTGGAAGATAATGTTGGTGGTGCACCTGTCAGGCTTCCATCCTTACCATTATGAACCGGTACAAACGCTGTACGAGGGCAGTCCAGCGAGTAGACTACAGTTTTGTCGTTTCATGCAGAACGCCGACGCAGACAAACACAATTTTATAAGAAATATTCTATGGACGTATGAGTCCAAATTTGACCGAGATGTTATTACAAACTACCATAATGTTCATTACTGGGAACTGAAAGTGGAAAAATATAAAAAAAATGCTTAAAGAAACAGCGTCACAGCGCAGATTTTCTTTGAATGTTTGAGTGTGGGATTGAAGATGGGTATTGTATATGAAAAACTTATTGGGCCCTTATTTTAATGCCATAAAATTTAAGCATGAAAATATAAGCAATTTTTTGTCGAAATGATTTGGAAAACTCATAAGAAGATGGTCTATAAGAAATTAAAAGTAATTTGATTTATCGGCATGACGGCTGTCCAGTTCACTTCCGGTTATCTATACGAAAGTAGCTAAATAGCCAATACTCAAATAGGTGGATTGGGAGGAGAGGGCCAATTCCGTGGCCTACACGAAGCCCCGATCTAATGCCACTACACTTCGACGTTTGGAGGCTACATCTTGAAGCGAGCTTCTATTAGAACATTCTACAAGCCGCTGAAGAAGATTAGTCATTTCCTACCATCCGTCAAGTGTCATATTCCTCTACAAGATGCAGGAGTGTACAAGCTTGATTGTGAATGTAGTCTCTCTTATATAGGACAAACAAAAAGATCAATTAGAACCCGCGTAAAAGAACATATAGCTGATGTGAAGCATCAACGTTCCGGGAAGTCTGCAGTTTGCGATCATATCTTAGACGGCCCCAACCATTACATCAGATTTGATAGACCACAAATCCTCGCGAAAGAACACCGATTCCTACCAAGGATGATACGTGAGGCTATTGAAATTAAAAAACATCCTAATTTCAACAGAGAAGGAGGCTGGGTACTACCACCTGCTTGGGACCCTATAATCAATAAAATTTAAAGTAAACCCAAGCATACCACTGCAACTACTAAACTACCTCAGGACATAGTCAGTTCATTTTACATAGATCGGACCATAAATAATAATTAAAAAGCTGAAGGTACTCCGGGTTTAACAATGACATCGGGACGTCAGTCACCTCAGTCCCCCGTGGCCATGGGTGCTGGAAAGCACCCGAAAGATCGGGAATTAAAAATAAAAATAATTTAAATCTAAATTAAACGCGATAAAATCGGTAAAAGTAGTTTTAATCAATTACTTGTAGAACTTCGAGGGCGTATCATAAATGCGGCAGAGCAGATTACGGCTACAATATCTTCAAAAATAACGGAATCCGAAGTTAGGAAAAGAATCAGGACGAGTGTCCGCAACCAAGATCTTTAACAAATTTAGAAAAAAAAATTATGTTTAAATATGACCCACATTAGTTTAACTGACTGTATACTATACTGTTATGAATATATAATATCTTCCGCCGGGACATTATTACCATTTTGGACAGCTGATTAAAATTTAAAAAAATATTTTTATGTATCATGTCATAGTAATTTTTTGAAGTACGTAACATTTTATGATACATAAAGTGTAAAAAAAATGAAAAAATAATAATTTATTAAGACCCATAATTTTTATTGTGAATACTTTTAGTACTTTTTATGGTTGTATTCGCTTGGTTTAAGCTTCAAGAAAATAAATAAACATAAAATCATACACAAAAATGTTTCGCCCGTATGGGGGGTCTAATTTGTAGCATTTTTACTCCCCTTTCACGTCCTGCCAGGAAGTTGTTGAGTTCTCAGTAACCCTGTATACGAAATGGTTTACCGACATGTCGCCAGACGTACATGCATAATAGAGATTATAAATACATAATAGAAGTTATATTTTATTTATTTACCTCATCTGAGTTAAACTGGCTCGACTTTAAGATTTCATCTCTTAAAATGTGGTTTTCTTTCTCCAGTATATCTACTTTTCGCATAGCCTCTGTACTCAATGTTCTTAAAGTGTCTGTTTCATTTTCATGTAATTTTAGTATGTCTTGCAAAGTTTCTTCATGAAGACTTTGTAGGTTTCGAACACCTTGGTTGTGCTCATTCAGTATATTTTTTATGTTGTTATCATATTGTACTTTGATTGCTCGTATTTTCTCTTTGTACTCTCTGTCAACATTTTTTAATGTATTTGTAAGAGACCTTATTTTTTCATTATAATAAGAAACATCTTCAATTTCAGCCATTACAGCAATGTCCTTCGTTTTAAGTTTATTTTTAATGGTAATGGCGTTTTTACTAGATTCAGATTTTGATGAACCATTTGGGAAAATTAGATTTTTCGAAGGATTTGAATTATTGGAAAACACATTTGAGTAAGTAAGCATTTCCGTGCTATGACTTTTTTGAAAAGAATTAGCAGTTTCAAATGTTTCATCTTCCAAGTTGGTATGTTGCTTTGCCACGATCGAATTGTAATCATGTTCATATTTTTGTTTTATTGGTCTATTCTTTTCATTTATTGTTTCTTGTTGTTTTGGTTTTATTAGTGAAACGTTTTTACCTATATTATCTAATTCATCATAATTTAATTTACTATTTCGCGTAAAAACCTGAGACCTATTCCAGTGTACTTCTCTATATTCTTCATTTTTCTTTAATACTGCGTTTAATTTTCCAACATTATGATTCACTTCTTGGTTTGAGACAGCATCCACCACAGAAGATATCAAGGAATTAAGTGAACGCGACAATCTAACGGCGTTTAGTTTATCATCATTAGTTTCACGTTTTTTTATAAGAGATACATCACTTAAAGAATTTTCCAAAGATTGGTTCAAATAATTTTCGTTACGTTCATCTCTGTTACTGACTATAGGTTTTCTATAACTAATAGCTAGTGAATCTACTAACACTTTTTCCATATTTTTGTCTTTTGTTTGAGAGTCCATTTTATTTATTTCTAAAGATTTTGATTTTACTAGGTATTCTTTGTTACTTGAAAGACTCGAATCATTCCTAGATTTATTGTCACGATCAGTATCCTGGTAAATAACTAAAATATCTTCATGATCGGATACCTCTAAATTATTCGAAGTCAAACTTTTATTACCGTTTTTAATGCCTTTTGTGAATTTGTGTTGGTCATTATTCTTTTTATCTTCAGCTTCAGAGATCTTCTTACGAGTTGAAGTTTTACTAATTTTACCATTTTTGGTGCTATTGGCGAAATGGTCCTTAACTTTATTATCAACAAAAGCAAAAGCAGTTACTGTTGTTTTATTACCACGATTCTGAATATTGTCATTAGAGTTTAAGTTTGATGTAGAATTTGGAGTCTGAATATCCGAGATGTTATTGATTTTCATATTTGGTTCTTTGAGAGTCAACGTCGGATTTGATAATTTACTATTGGCTGTAATCGACTCCCTGTCATAAGAATCCGAAAGGTCTTCATCACTGATACAAGATATGGAACATTGTTCCATTCCTCCTATACTAAGTCTTTTTAATTTATAACTTAAATATGCGTTTCTTACGAAATCAAAATCAGGTTTTACATTAGCGGTCAAAATTTGGACTTCATTAATTGGTTCAGATTCCTTTTTCAAAATTAAATCGTTAAGTTTTTGATTAGATTTAAAGTTTTCAAAACCAGTAGTTTCCAAATCCATTGCCTTGTCAGTTTTATAAGTATCTACACTATCAAATGTGTTGTTATTCTTTTCCTCTAAAGAATTAACAGAAACATCCCGTAGCGTCATATTTTCAGTTTGTGCTGAAATATTATTTTGAATATTTTTTACATTACATTGAATAGCGAAATCCATAATATTTTTATTTTTTAAAGTCTCAAAACTGACTTGGAGGGCTTTAATATCTTGACATTTTCTTTCTATATCGATTTTTGCCTGTTCTATAATATGGTTATTTTGTTTGTTTTGTTCCTTTTCAATCGATAAATTATATTCCAAATCACTTATCTTAGCTAATGCATTTGTGTATAATTCCCAAATAGATCGAAGTTCTTCTTCCAATTTTGATACATAATTCTCTGTTGATTCATTTATTTTACTAATTATGAGTTTTTGATTTGATAATTCTGCTTCTAAATCATTAATAATCTCCTTGTCTTTAGTTATTTGTTCTTCTAACTGTTCTTTCAGAACAGCTAATTGTTTTTGTACGTTAATTTTATCTTTAATGATTTCTTCTTTTTCTTTTATTATATTCTGCTTTTCTTTTTCAACAATTCTTTTAGCCTCATCAGCTTTACTTAAAACTAACTGAGATGAATTATTTCTAGCTTCTATATAGCCACTGATTCTATCTAATGATGTCAAAATATTCTCAACACAAAAATTATCAGGCGATAAAGCGCTATCACCTACACATTTTATTTCAAGTTGCTTAATGTAAGTCACAATTATTTCTCTTTCGCCTTCTAAACGAGTTACCTGAGAAGAAAAAGTGTCTTTTTTCATTGTAGACTCCTCAATTTCCTCTGTCGTGACAGAAAGTTTTTCTTCCAACTTAAAATTCTCATCCATTAATTTTGCTAATTCAATTCTCATATTATGAGTAGCTTTCGAGTCTAAAAAGGGAAACATGGTTATTACTATTCATTAAACAAATGAATATTATTATTTTATTATTATAGTTAAGCAATATTTTAACTCTGAAATAGTTAGCTAGTGGTAGAAACTATTAAATGATTTCATCGTTCGGCGAAATATAAACATATAAGGATTTAAATAAATTAAGCAATATCAAAATAAACAACCGCGTAGTGGCGCTTTGATAATATCCACTACTCCAAATCACCCGTGAGTGAGGCGACAGAGGGAAACAAAACAGGAAAAGAACAGCAGGATTTTCCTTGTAAAAACAAGAAAATAGAAAACTGTGGTTTTCAACCCGCCTGTAAAACATTGCAACTACGGCAAATATGCGTGACGTTTGTCACAGTGTGTTGAAGCAAACAGTTTACCTGATGGTGAGTGGATACCGTGATCCATAGGAATCTACATTTATCGTTAATAATGAATCAAAATGCAGATGCGTTGCCACTGCTGATGAGTAAGATGTAGTTCCTCGTACCTAGTAATAAGTGTCTCGGGCCCGCGGCCCTCTACACTCACCGTAAGAAACAGCATTGAGCTGCTATTTTACGCTGGTATTCTGATATTTCTGTGAGAGCATGGTTCTTTTCCGGTCGAGTGACCAATTCGTGCTACCACTATAATATTCCTGCAAAATGGTTTTACCACGTACAAAACTATAAGGCAATCTATGGAAGTAGGGTGGCTATGTAATACAAACAATTTCTGCCATTATTTATGGGTGCATCATAAAATAATAATAATTAATATATTATTAATAATGTCAGCAAGCAATTACAATACATAATCCTACATACTTCTCCGGTATGAATTATAAGTCATTACTTCCCCTCGAAAAAATCTACACATAAGAAAATGAATCGCGTGGCATATAAAATATTTATACGGTACCAACGAGTTCAAATATGGATTTCTCACTACTATGACTATACTATAAAAGTCCGGTCCCTAAGTGACCACGGTTGCAATAAGTAGATGTTATTAAAATTCAATTCATATTCTTGCATTATAATTTTTTGATTTCTCATCCATCTCAAAATCCATCAATCCATTGGCATAAACGTGTGTTGTTTATAAATAATTATAAATCACAAAAAAGTCATTCAGAGATAATAAATGTTAGAATGCCTACAATATTCGAAAGAAAAATTAAATTAAACAGCATGAAAGAGGCGTAAAACAGAAAAACTTTTTACGATGTGCTTCCATTTGCTTCAGGGAATTGTCAATTTTCACGTTTCTTTCATTTATTGCTTCACCAAAATCAATCGTGGTAGATAAAATTGTTTGTAATCTGTGAACTTCATCACCTAATTCATTGACATGATTCTCTAAAATCGATATTTTAACATCTCGGGTTAAAACATCTTCTCTCAGATTAACAATTAATTGATCCTACGAAGAAACAAAACAAGCATAGACACATATATGTTTAAGTATGAAAATAAAATAAATATTGATCATCTGTATTGACTTAAATACTTAAATAAATTTATTTTTTACCGATTTATCTATGTCGTCTAATAAGCTTTGGATCCGTATTTGATTACAATCTTTTTCTTTTTTAATTTTTAGTACTTCTTCCTTTAAATCTAAATAATCTGTAGAAGATGATGCTAGTTGTTGTTGAACCTAAAAAGAAAAGATTAAATGAGATGAAATGAAACGACTTTAAGGAATGCAGAAAGAATTACACGTAGTTTACCTCATTTCTGATATCCATAAGGTCATTAATTTCATTTTGTAAATTTTTATTTTCCAATTCCATTTCCTTCATTAGGGTTAACTGAAGTTGTAAATCACATTGAACCTTTTCTTTTTCAGATTTAAGTTGATCATAGGAAGTTTTTAAAAGGTTTAGCTCATTTTCTAATTTTTCATAATATGAATTAATTTTATTTTTCAGGTAATCATTTTCAGTAGTTTTTGCACCTAATTCTGTTCTAATAGTCAAGTTTTCCTTTTCTAAATAGTCTATTTCATTATGGTTTTGAATTAGTTGTTCTTTAAGTGATTTTATTTGAATTGACAAGTTATTACTTTCCTCAGATTTTACTTTCAAGGTGCAATGAAGATTATTAACTTCATCTTTTTGCAAATTGATTTGATTAAGGACAACATCTTTTTCTTGAATTAAATCATCATAAGATTTATCTAATTGCATTATTTTTTGCTCCAAAATTCTAATTCTTTCCGAAATAAAGTGAAAACGCTGGTTTTCCACTTTAAGTTTACCTAACATTGCCAACAGACTTTCAATCTCGCGATTTTTCATTGATAAATCATTTTGAAAATCATTTTTGTTTTCTAAAAGTATTTCATTATGACATTTTAGTTTCATTAGGTCTTCTTTTATCTTCTCATTTTCATTTATTTGCGCAAGAAAATATTGTTTTTCATCGTGCATCACTTGTAAGAGATGATTTGCCTCGTCAAGTTTATTAGATTTATCTGTTAATTCATTTACAAGACAATTCTTTTCTTCAAGTATTTGTTGGTACGAATCCTTTAACATATTAAATCTATCCGCAAGACAGCTGATTTCCTGGAGCTTATTTCTCAATATTTCACTTTCATTTTCCTGTATTTCTAAACCTTTCATACATTTACTGCCCTTTTCGACTTTTTTTTCGTTGAACTCTTGAAATTTGTTAACTTCATCAGAATGTGCGGTATCTTCTGAACTCTGTTTTATAACATTTTGTGTACTGTTTTCGTTAAACGCTTGAAATTTTTTAACTTCGTCAGAGTGTTGGTTGTCTTCTGAACTCTGTTTTATTACATTTTGTTCAGCTTTTTCGTTGAACGTTTGAAATTTCTTAACTTCATCAGAGTGTGCGTTGCCTTCTGAACTCTGTTTTATTCCATTTTGTATAGTTTGTCCACTGTCTGCTACTTTTTGTTCGCGATTTATCGGATCATAGTCAGAGATTTTACCAAGCAATGTTTCACTTACCTTGGTAGCTATTTTTATTGAACTCATTGCAATTCTTCTTTCATTTTCGAGTATGTGTATTTTATCATTATAACTTTGATGTATTTCATTCAACTGTTTAATCAAATCACTCTTTTGCTGTTTTGTGCTTTCTATTTCACCCACCAATTTATTAATTTCCAACGATTTGTTGCCGACAACTTTCATTAAATTCTCTATGGCAATAGCCTTATTCTCAGCATCAATTATAAGACTTTTATTTTTATCCATTAACTTCTTTATTTCATCTTGTGATTCTTCTGTTAGCTTTTCCAAATAATCATTACGTTGAATTGTTTTTTCACAAACTCCTGTTATATAAATAGTGGTTTTAGTTTTAGTTTGATGACAACATCTAAAATGTAATGGATATAGCCAGAAAGCCGAATTTTATTAAGAATTACAATTCACTACCAATATTTTTTAAATGATACAAAAATTATTTATACTGCTGTTAAAAGGTAGGGTATTTAACAAAGTAACACGGTGTTATAATAACGTAATTGTATATTAAGATAATCCCTCGTAAGCATCGTGCTTAAGAATTACGAAGTATTGTCTTATTTTCTCATCTACTTATAAAGTAGTAGTAAAGAGTTAATAGTTATATAGTAATAGTTTTTAAAATGTAAGGAAAACAATCGAGCACGCAGTCCATCTAAAGTAAGCGGATTAGCCCAAAGACAACTACATCTGCCCTCGATTAAGAATAAGGATTCAAAATGCAGGAACGTTGTCAACCTTGAGGACTAAGATGGGCTATCTCGTTACCAGTCAAAAGTCTTTAGTTCTCGACACTAATAACACAAAATACTTAATAACGATGATGCTGCCATTTCACACTGAGATTCCATCCAAATCTTCCGAGTAAGTCAAACCGATATACTCGTTTTGTAGTAGGTACAAACACACGGTTCAAATTGGCTCTGTCAGTGTGTCAAAACTTGCTTGGATTAGTTTTTAGGTATAGTGGATGAAGATACCATCTTTTGAGTTTTAACACTTTCCCTCGCGAAAATATTTCATTTTGTTCCTCTAATTTATAATGACTTAGATGTAATTATGACACGAGCAAAATAGTTATTAGTTTTTACATAAACCCTTTTAAATTAATCAATAAAATTAAATGTTAATTTTTACCGATTGTGTTATTTGTAAAGCCTAAGAAAAACTAAGTTACTAGATAAACACAATGTAATAATGGTTCTAAGACCATCACGCATAAATGAATAAGGAATAAAAACTTGAAGCAATGTCGTGAACACATTATAAACAGTTCTTTTTATGGAAGAGGGGGTAAACGTGTACAAGTATGTACGGTGCCGACTTTTTGAAAAGGAGTAAGCTCATTCTTTAATCCATAAGTCATATCAAGACATTAAAGAACTTTTACTAAGAAAAAGTTAATAAATAAAAGCTATATGTAGCTAGCCTGGGTTAAAAATCATAACGGAACGTTAAATACTTTAGTCCCCGCGTAATTTAACCGCGATACAATTCAAAATCCTAATCTACTACTGTTTCGAAATTAGGTTCCTCTAATTGAAGAAGAAATAGCGAAAGAATCTCAACAGCCATTCTCCTTTTTCGTAATTAAAAAAAATTATATATCATAATAATGGGGAAGCGAATCCTTATTGTTATTATTTGTGAATAATTACTAGGAATTTCGTCATGTATTTTCCTTACCCTATCTTTTTATAAATATACGTAATTTAAACTTACTCTTCCAATCTTCAATTTCTAATCTTAAATTATTAATAATCACAAGATTTTCTTGAAAGTCTTCATTAAGTTTCTTTTTTTCTTCCTCTTTGTGGAACAAAGAATCCTTAAGATTTATTATTTGTTCCTTTTGCGATTCAATTTGATTAATCAATCCCATCATTTTTAATTCATTTCCTTCTAGGACCTAGTTTTTTAATTAATATTTTAATGTTTGATTTGTTTATAATATTGAAACGTGTAGTATTAGTATTGACAATATAACTTACATCGTCGTTATTTCGTTCAAGAAGCTTGTTAATTTGAACTAATAAACTTTGTATTTGTTGGTCTTGACACATTATCTTACATTCATATTCCTGCAATCGGCATTTAAGTGCATGTTTTTCTTTTTCACAAACTATTGATGCTTCATTTATTCTTTTTTCTAAATTTACATTTTCATTTCTTAACTGCTCCATTGTAACTGATTTCGCATCGATTATTTCAATTTGAGCTTTTAATTGCGTTTCCAAATTTAATGTTTCTTCAGCTAATACTAAATACTTTTCCTTTAACATGTCGAGATCTTCTGATCGTTTTTTATAATATTCTCTTTCATTCCACACACTATTATACGAATTTAATTGATCGCGTAATTTTTCATACTCTTTTTCTAATTCATCATATTTTTGACACTTAGTTATTAAACAATTCTTTTCATACTTTAATTCGTCATAGCAAGTTAGAAGATCTTCATAACTTGCCTGTAAGTATTTTAAGCGAATAAGGTTTTCTACGTTAATACTGCAGTTATTATTAACGACAAAGTCTTCTTCGGCAGAAATCTCTTCAAATTTTACTGACGAATTTTTTTTCCTCAGTATTTCTTTCATCTCATCATTTCCCATTATATCAGCTACAAGCTCAGCTCGTTTGCTGTCAAGATTTGTAACCATTGTTTCTTCAGACGTCAATGCAAATGTAGTTTCCATCCATGAAGTTATTTCCGCGTGATAACAAGAACAATCCTTCGAGCAAGGAGCAATTAGAGCAAAGCAAAACTTTTCCAGTACTTTTAATTTATAGAAGATTTTTCCTTTTATGTCGACATTTCGAGTATCTTTTCCAGATGTCTAAGTAAATTGAAAAATTTTCTTAAGTAATCATGTCAATAAAACAAGAAATAAAATAAAAATTATGTATACCAGAAGATCAAGATACTGCTTATATTTTTCATTTTGACATAAAACAGCAAATATTTTCTCTAGTGCAGTGTAGATATGAGCATAGATACAATAAGGCTCACAAACATCATTCTCCATTACCTAAAATAAAACATAAAATTAAATCTATATGTATTCAAGTAACAAATCAAAAAATTTATTTATGGACGGTAGGTTCCATTCGTACGCTATAAAGATCTATTTGTTCAAGACATTACAGTATATTATTTGTGATAGTCCACTTGTAACTGTCATATAATATCAAATATTATACGATATGCAAATGTCGCTTATGAAACCCATGTCAACACTTGCGATTATATTAGAAAAGTTCTTGAATGATGATGTTCACTTAAACCTCAACACAAGATACGATATTCAACATACCGATCTTTTTCTTTATCACTAGCATGCATCCGATTTCTACTTCTTTTTAATCCAATTTTGTGAAATAAATTTCCACAAAAAACTGAATCAATGCAAACAAACACACTTGCATAAACTATTGATAGGTCCAGAGAGAATGAAAACAAACTTCATTTCCACTCCTCCGGGCCCGCAAATCGAACGTGAACAGGGGTGTTTTTTTTTAAATAAAATATGAGTGACAAATGAGCACATAGTCCACCTGATGTTTAGTGGATGCTGTGGCCCATAGACATCTCCATCTATCTTCGATTAAGAATCAGAGTACAGATGCGTTGCCAGTCCTAAGGACTAAGATGGAATGCCTCGTTTCCAGTAAAAACGGTCTCCAGTTCTCTACACTTACCATACGAAACAGAGCAGCATTTAACTACTATTTTACGCTGGTTTTCTGTGAGAGCGTGGTCCTTCCCCGGTCTAGTCGACCCATTTGTGCTACAATTATATACTGCACGCGCCGTGATAAATGTGTTCATAAAAATGGATAAGAATAATCAACGTTGATTTTTTACCAATAATAACCCTATGCTTGATTGATATATCACTTGATGGTAAGTAGTTTTGTGCCCGAAGTTGGTAAAACTCTGACGATTACAAAATTTAGGCACAGGTCGACTAAAACATCGATTGCTCCGTGGCTTAGCAATGAGTGGATGCGCTGGGGGGCGTGGGTTTGAATCCCGCACGGAACAAGTATTTGTATGGCCTACAAATAATTGTTCGGGGTCTTGATGTGTGTCCTTGTGAAATTAATGTTTGTAAACTGCCCCCACGATACAGGAGAAACTCCTAGTGTGAGGGTAACTTAAAAGAAAATAGATGTCTAATGCTCAAATATTCAAACGCTATCAAAATTTTAGGATACCGTTAAATACCGTGCTGCCTTAATTTCTTTAAGTCAAAGTGACTGTGACACCACAAGACGTCTTAAAATTAAGTAGCGTTTGAGTATTTGGTCACAATGGAACTAAAACATCACCTGGGCAGTGAATAACTTCCGTTAGTACCTAAGTAGTTACGTTGTACCAGTTCTGGCGCACTTGTAGAAAGGTTGTACCAGTTCTGGCGCACGACGTTCGTCGACTCACAATCCTAAAAAAAAAAAAAAAAAAAAAAAAAAAGTTTTGGCATGCTCTGATCACGAATCTGCGGTCCATTTTTGCGTAGGATGCACGGTTCCGGAGATGTGCAGATCAATTAACTCTTATCTAATTGATATCCGCTACGAGCCTCAACCGTCATTAGCGCTCCATTGTCCTTATCTACTTATCTATTGTTGATTGACTACCGTCATTATCTATTATTCGTCCAGCGTGTGGGTCGGCTTATGCTATTGTATTATACTCCTTTGTTCCTATCTACAACACTAATCTGAATCATCAATAAAACACATTACCTAATTTTGTTAAAATTTTTATTTATGAAATACAAAATCTTATTACTTATTATCTATAAAATAGGAGCGAAACATCTCATCCACTAAAATATCGTTGTACAATGTGTTCTCTGTAAATATACTCGTAAAACTATGCATTGAACATCCCTGAAACTTATATAGCAAATACATTAAGCAATATTCGCCACAAACTGAAGTCCACTCATTCTGAATCCTATCAACATTCCAGTTCCATCTTTTACAATTTCTTTTAAAAAACTCTAGATGATATCGTACAGGTGCCCGTCCGAATGAATCAAAATATTGACCGACGTCATTCGTATCGATATATAAAGATACCCAATGTGACCCTGGTTTATCATCTGTATCCAAATTGCATATTATATACGTTGGTACGTGGGTGTACATGGGTAGTTTATTGGCAGCATAAACATTATTTTCTAGAGTGGGGTGAATCTTTTTCAGATGTTGTTGTACATCTAGTGTATCCATAATATTACTGCTATTAGTAGATTATTACAGTACCAATCTACTCAATGACTAATATAGGAATGATCAATTATAGTGATATCTAAATATTAAATTGCTTTCTTTGTGTTATACAAAACGTATTTGAGTCACCAATACACTGAACAAGACATGACAGGAAGGACGTAGGAATGTAGAGATAACCAACAGAATGTAAGGTAAGCTTGTTGACGCATAAAGATACTATCAATTCTACTGCAGAAATTCTTTAGATTAGAATTATTACTCACTGGTACTATATAAGACCAAGCAACTGCAGTCATGGAGTTAGTGTATGGTCGTTTGACCGCAGTGGATCTATCAATACTACGTTTGTGTTACTTCAACGCATCAAAGGCCATGGATGTAAGTGTTTATTCTATTGACAAACTTACTTTTCTTTCTGTTATTTTCTTACGTGTGTATGATTTAGTGTTAACAAATTATATTTAAATATTATGTGTGTGTATATGGTTAAGCCGTGGTAGCTCAGATGGTTAGCGCAAAATGTAAACTTCATAGTACACGTCCCGGGTTCGATCCCCGCCGGCACCAATTAAATTGTTAATTACAATTTTAAGTGCTGATTTACCACGTGCTCAGCGGTGAAGGAAAACATCGTGAGGAATGCATGTCTGAGAAAATTTCGAAGGCATGTGAAGTTTGCCAACACGCATTGAGGTATCGCAGCGAACATTTCCTAGCCCTAAAACCCTCTCAGAAATGAGAGGAGGCCTATGTTCAGCAGTGGACTTTAATAGGTTGTAACTTTAGCTTTTTTAACTTTTATGATTAAGTGTTAACAAATTGATATTAACATGATAACTGTGTTGTTGCAGAAATCATTGAGCTTCGATGAAAATACCTATAAACAGTATTACTACTCGCCACTCTCCCCTCAAGAAGAGAGTGATGACATCGTCATTAATAATAACACATGCGATGGTGGAAAAAGAAAATCGCAATCGATTGATCATTTTTTTGAAGCTGAATCAAAAATAAAAAAAGAGGAAGCTGTTATCATCAACCGTAGCACGAGCCGCTAGAGATGGTGTATCATACATTTCTACTAATTCTGACGACGGAGACCAAGCGACGCATCTCATCAAAATTGAAATGTACGATATGAAGAAGCTATCCAAGATTCCAACTACTGATCATTGGAAACATGCTTCCACGAGGATTAAATATTACGTAAAGACTAATAAGGATAGCATCTACGACAACACAAACGCCCTCGTATACAATATTACAAAGACAATAGCAGAAAGTGAAAAAGTTAAAAAATACTTTTTTAACAATGACAGTCATTAGCTGATCATTAGTGAATGTGATTCTGTTTACTTAAATTACTTCCGTGTACTCATTATATTCTATTTCTAATCCTTTGTTAGACTTAAATATCGGACATTATTTGAAATTTGGGTATCAGTTGGTCTACCAACACTGAACTGTTACTTACTCTGCTACCTATTTTCTTCTTTACTATAAGGATGGCAAACTTCAGTGAAGTGTGCACCAGTGCTTTCTTCTCCACAACCATGGAAGAGAATACGGAACTATTCAACAGCGAATTAAATCAGGAGTTGTCTAAAGTTTGTGATGAAATGGAGAAGGATCAACTGTTCGATTCATCGTATGATGATGAGTTGTATAATCACTGTGCGATGGTTGAAACACAGTTTAAGTAAGTAAAATAAACATTCATTTCGATCATAATTTACACAATGTCTTGTACAGTTTTTAATAAATTTAAACATTTTAGTAGTCAACCACTACAACTTGGAAGAGGAACGAAGCGAACGAGCAGCAAAGAACCCAAGATCATCAAAAAACCAACAACGGAAGCAGAAGCGCCTACCTCTGCAGGGAACAGTATCAGTAACGAAGATCAAGTGGAATGTCTAACGTGTCATATATTTATCAAGAAACGGTATTTAGCTAATCATTTTAAAAGTAATGTTCACAAAAATAATCTTTTAAATTCACATAATTCTTTATCAAACGTTAGTGTTATTGAATCTGCTTTTGGAAATAGGATTTTAACTTATAAAATCAAGAGTAGAGTAGATAGTTCGACATTGGTAAATTTTGAAACTCCTGAACTATTTTTAAATTCTATTAAAGATGATATTTTATTTTTAATACAAGAGTGTATTCATCAACACATAATTTTTAAAGTAAACTTCATATTGCATGCTGATTTTGTTCAACAAACTAAAGATATTCATGATACGTTCGATTTTCAAACGCTTAACTATATTATTTGTCAAGGAGATGACTTAAATATTTTTTTTTCATCTTTAAATGATACAATTACTACTAAAATTAGTGCATTTGAAAAAAAAGATAGTGGATGGAGTCTAAAAAACATAAAATCTATAGACATGAATGTTAATAAATTTAACCCCCTACGCGGTACTTCATACATAGATCTTCCTCGTGACATAAAATTAAAAAAGGCTGTTATAAATGTAAAAAGCAAGGATTATTTTTGTTTTAAATGGGCGTTACTCTCGGCGTTATATCCCGTAAACAAAGACGCGGATCGTGTATCATCGTACGTTAAACATGCAAATAAACTTAAATTTAATGGTATTTCCTTTCCAGTTAAAATTTCTGACATAGCAAAAGTAGAGAAATTAAATGATATTAGTATTAATGTTTTTGGGTTAGAATATAATAAAGAAAAACGATGTAATTCTATAGTAGGTCCATTATTTTTAACAAAGTGTCGTAAAGATAGACATATCAATTTATTATTTTTTTCCAA